CAGGGTTCGGGGCAAGGTTCCGGGAACCCAGGGTTCCGGGAACCAGGGTTCGGGGCAAGGTTCCAGGAACCCAAGGTTCCGCAAACCAGACTTTCAAGCAAGGTTCTGGGAACAATGGGTTCTGGCTACCTTTTGGGTTCCGGGACGTCAAGGTTCCGGGAAGGTTCCGGGCACACTTGGCTTTCGACAAGGTTCCGGGAACCTTACCATGGTTTCGAGCAGCCAGAGCCTGGATTGTGCCAAAGTTCTGGAATCACCGGAACACCAATTTTGAGACATCCTGCAAACCCAGAGTTTGGGGAACCAGGATTCTGGCAAGGTTCCAGCAACACTGGGTTCCGACAAGGTTCCGAGAACCACCACAGATGCGGACCCACAGTTTGGATATACTTCCTGGATTATGCCACAGGTTCCGGACAGGGACAAGGTTGCGGAACAACAATTTTCAAGAAGCCCAGCCCAGGTTCCAGAGAACCAGGGTTCTGGCAAGGTTCCGAGGTTCCGGAAACAACCCAGGGGTCGGATATACGCCGTGGGTTGTACCAAGGTTCATGCTACGGACAGGGTCCCAGAAAACCAATTTTCAAGGAAACCAAGGTTCCAGGACCATATAGGCCCTGTCAACGAGCAATCGCTGACAGGGGGGGGCACAGCGTGACAATAAATCAGCGCGTCTCGGTTCCGCAAACCCAGGGTTCCAATATACGCTGTGGGTTGTGCCAAGGTTCCGGAAACGAGGGTTCCAGGAAGACAAGGTTCCAGGAACACAAGGGATTCCGGAAATCCCCCAGCCAATCTTGGGTGCTTTGTGGCGGGTTCCGCACATGCCGATTCATGTTCGTTTGCTCAGTGGGCGCACAGCGTCGGTCGACTGACCTGTTCTGATGTTGCTGTAAAATCTTCTGTTTGAACTGTTCCGATGTCGCATCTACCAAAGCACATGCCACATCAAGCAATTAAGTTCGATGCCTTGGAACACCTAAATATTGGCAGCAAACCTGTGTGAGGCTTCTCGAAGCCAGGTAGATGATTTTTTTAAAGCTAAGTGACCAAACAGCAACACACAATGAAACTTCAGACACAGTTGTGACACAACAACCAAGTATTGACATGAAACTAATTCTGGAATCATGATGGACAATTTGGCCAAAACCAACTGTTTCACCAATCACTTGCGCAAACTGACCGACGTTGTCCAAGCACGACAAGATAATCCCAAACCAACACACACACACACAATTTTGTAAACACTTAATGACACACCGTGGTCTGCAAATACTGCCATTCGTTTGTAACCAAATGTATGTAAATTCAATTATGCGCGCTTTCTTAAAGAACATGTCTCATCTTGCCTTTGGTCCAAAAGGGGACGGGGCAGGGCGGGCAAAAAATCGCCCAAGAGACTTAGGCTATGGAATCCTGTTCCTGCCATCATTAATCCGTCTTGGGTTGCAAAGTTGGACCACTGTTTGAAACCAACCGCTGTTGGGGATCACACCGTGGTCTGCAAATACTGCCATTCGTTTATAACCAAATGTATGTAAATTCAACTATGCGCGCTTTCTTAAAGAACATGTCTCATCCTGCCTTTGGTCCAAAAGGGGAGGGGGCAAGGCGGGCAAAAAATCGCCGAAGAGACTTAGGCTATGGAATCCTGTTCCTGCCATCATTAATCCGTCTTGGGTTGCAAAGTTGGACCACTGTTTGAAACCAACCGCTGCCGGTTCCGGGAACCAGGGTTCCGGGCAAGGTTCCGGAACTCAGGGTTTCGGGAACCAGGGTTCGGGGCAAGGTTCCAGGTTCCGCAAACCAGACTTTCAAGCAAGGTTCTGGGAACAATGGGTTCTGGCTACCTTTTGGGTTCCGGGACGTCAAGGTTCCGGGATCCCCAGGTTCTCGGCGCCAGGAAGGTTCCGGGCACACTTGGCTTTCGACAAGGTTCCGGGAACCTTACCATGGTTTCGAGCGGTTCTGGAATCACCGGAACACCAATTTTGAAACATCCTGGAAACCCAGAGTTTGGGGAACGAGGGTTCCGGCAAGGTTCCAGCAACACTGGGTTCCGACAAGGTTCCGAGAACCACCGCGGATGCGGACCCACAGTTTGGATATACTTCCTGGATTATGCCACAGGTTCCGGACAGGGACAAGGTTGCGGAACAACAATTTTCAAGAAGCCCAGCCCAGGTTCCAGAGAACCAGGGTTCTGGCAAGGTTCCGAGGTTCCGGAAACAACCCAGGGGTCGGATATACGCCGTGGGTTGTACCAAGGTTCATGCTACGGACAGGGTCCCAGAAAACCAATTTTCAAGGAAACCAAGGTTCCAGGACCATATAGGCCCTGTCAACGAGCAATCGCTGACAGGGGGGGGGACAGCGTGACAATAAATCAGCGCGTCTCGGTTCCGCAAACCCAGGGTTCCAATATACGCTGTGGGTTGCGCCAAGGTTCCGGAAACGAGGGTTCCAGGAAGACAAGGTTCCAGGGACACAAGGTTCCAGGAACACAAGGGATTCCGGAAATCCCCCAGCCAATCTTGGGTGCTTTGTGGCGGGTTCCGCACATGCCGATTCATGTTCGTTTGCTCAGTGGGCGCACAGCGTCGGTCGACTGACCTGTTCTGATGTTGCTGTAAAATCTTCTGTTTGAACTGTTCCGATGTCGCATCTACCAAAGCACATGCCACATCAAGCAATTAAGTTCGATGCCTTGGAACACCTAAATATTGGCAGCAAACCTGTGTGAGGCTTCTCGAAGCCAGGTAGATGATTTTTTAAAGCTAAGTGACCAAACAGCAACACACAATGAAACTTCAGACACAGTTGTGACACAACAACCAAGTATTGACATGAAACTAATTCTGGAATCATGATGGACAATTTGGCCAAAACCAACTGTTTCACCAATCACTTGCGCAAACTGACCGATGTTGTCCAAGCACGACAAGATAATCCCAAACCAACACACACACAATTTTGTAAACACTTAATGACACACCGTGGTCTGCAAATACTGCCATTCGTTTGTAACCAAATGTATGTAAATTCAACTATGCGCGCTTTCTTAAAGAACATGTCTCATCCTGCCTTTGGTCCAAAAGGGGAGGGGGCAAGGCGGGCAAAAAATCGCCGAAGAGACTTAGGCTATGGAATCCTGTTCCTGCCATCATTAATCCGTCTTGGGTTGCAAAGTTGGACCACTGTTTGAAACCAACCGCTGCCGGTTCCGGGAACCAGGGTTCCGGGCAAGGTTCCGGAACTCAGGGTTCCGGGAACCAGGGTTCGGGGCAAGGTTCCAGGTTCCGCAAACCAGACTTTCAAGCAAGGTTCTGGGAACAATGGGTTCTGGCTACCTTTTGGGTTCCGGGACGTCAAGGTTCCGGGATCCCCAGGTTCTCGGCGCCAGGAAGGTTCCGGGCACACTTGGCTTTCGACAAGGTTCCGGGAACCTTACCATGGTTTCGAGCGGTTCTGGAATCACCGGAACACCAATTTTGAAACATCCTGGAAACCCAGAGTTTGGGGAACGAGGGTTCCGGCAAGGTTCCAGCAACACTGGGTTCCGACAAGGTTCCGAGAACCACCGCGGATGCGGACCCACAGTTTGGATATACTTCCTGGATTATGCCACAGGTTCCGGACAGGGACAAGGTTGCGGAACAACAATTTTCAAGAAGCCCAGCCCAGGTTCCAGAGAACCAGGGTTCTGGCAAGGTTCCGAGGTTCCGGAAACAACCCAGGGGTCGGATATACGCCGTGGGTTGTACCAAGGTTCATGCTACGGACAGGGTCCCAGAAAACCAATTTTCAAGGAAACCAAGGTTCCAGGACCATATAGGCCCTGTCAACGAGCAATCGCTGACAGGGGGGGGCACAGCGTGACAATAAATCAGCGCGTCTCGGTTCCGCAAACCCAGGGTTCCAATATACGCTGTGGGTTGTGCCAAGGTTCCGGAAACGAGGGTTCCAGGAAGACAAGGTTCCAGGAACACAAGGTTCCAGGAACACAAGGGATTCCGGAAATCCCCCAGCCAATCTTGGGTGCTTTGTGGCGGGTTCCGCACATGCCGATTCATGTTCGTTTGCTCAGTGGGCGCACAGCGTCGGTCGACTGACCTGTTCTGATGTTGCTGTAAAATCTTCTGTTTGAACTGTTCCGATGTCGCATCTACCAAAGCACATGCCACATCAAGCAATTAAGTTCGATGCCTTGGAACACCTAAATATTGGCAGCAAACCTGTGTGAGGCTTCTCGAAGCCAGGTAGATGATTTTTTTAAGCTAAGTGACCAAACAGCAACACACAATGAAACTTCAGACACAGTTGTGACACAACAACCAAGTATTGACATGAAACTAATTCTGGAATCATGATGGACAATTTGGCCAAAACCAACTGTTTCACCAATCACTTGCGCAAACTGACCGACGTTGTCCAAGCACGACAAGATAATCCCAAACCAACACACACACAATTTTGTAAACACTTAATGACACACCGTGGTCTGCAAATACTGCCATTCGTTTGTAACCAAATGTATGTAAATTCAATTATGCGCGCTTTCTTAAAGAACATGTCTCATCTTGCCTTTGGTCCAAAAGGGGACGGGGCAGGGCGGGCAAAAAATCGCCCAAGAGACTTAGGCTATGGAATCCTGTTCCTGCCATCATTAATCCGTCTTGGGTTGCAAAGTTGGACCACTGTTTGAAACCAACCGCTGTTGGGGATCTACGTCGGCTTATTTAATATATTTTTTTAAATAACGGTTTTTAAAGGGTTTATGTAGAAAGTGCCGCAGGGTTGGGGGACAGCAGAATCACCGCAGGGTCATCAACAACTTTGGTTCGCAAACTCGGAGCCATCCAGTTATTACATCCCCTAATAGTGGACGGCCACACAGTACTGTAAGGGTTACCAAATGTTGGGTTTCCGACACTCATCCCAACAGGAAACAGCCGCTACACGACCCACTCCCATATGAAATCCTGTCCTATGGGCCTATGGTTTCTAAGGTGTGGTTTGTTTCCCAGAATGGATTATCAACACTTAGGAAAACCGCAACTTCAAGTTATTTTCAGGGAACATTTTAATACATTTTACAGTTATGTCCTGGCTGTGTCCTGGTTCCTTTTTAGGGGAACATGTACAAGAAACTCCCTAAGAATCGATCAATCCGTGGTTTTGCGACATCAATCCACCGGTTTTTCCACCGAGGCGCCTTGGGATGACTTCTGCGACGAGATCGAAGGAGAACATCAGGGCGAAGCGTGCAGCTTGGAAGCGATCGATCCGGATGGAAGCAACATGTGCCATGGTCAAGTTGCATTGCTTACTTTCCCAAAGCAACATTAATATCCATTAATATCCCATTACATCCCATTAATATACCCATTATTAACATTAATATATGCATTGATATACCCATTACATCCCATTTACATCCATATTAATCCCATCCCCCCGATATATGAAAAACCACTCCCTAGAATTCATGGTGGATGTAGGGAATTTCCACGTAATTGGGACCATAGAATGGGGCTGTTTCATATTAGGGAGATGAAATTACTATGAGACTCGATGTATAAGAAGTTCCTCATGATGGTGATCATGCCCCATATGCAATGTTTTGACCATGGCACACATAGGGATACATCTGATTGAACTCACAAAACGATGATTTGACTGGTTCTATGTGTATGGGTCAAAAACATAAAACACTTAACTAGTTAACCCAGAGGTGTTGGTGTTTTTGAGGTTTTTTTAACGGTCCAATTTTGATCCATGGCACATAGGTTGCTGGGTTGGAAAGACAGGCTGAAGGCTGATACAAAATCAGCCTGACGTTTCAAGTTGGTTGCTGGGGTTGTCCCTCCCATTTTCCGCTCAACATATTTCAACGAGACTTTCCCACTCCGGGATACCCAGACAGTGCCCCTGGAACCAGCACATCTTGAGACCGCCGCAGCATTGGTCAGACTTTTTCCTGACAGGGTTGCTGGGTTACTCCCTGCGTACCATCTGGTTATGACTAACAGTTTGCCATGGAAAGATCCACCATTTAAGAAATAGGTAAACCCAGGTAAACCCAGGTAAACCATCTATTTCTATGGGCCATGGCTTCCATGGCGAACTGTTAGTCATAACCAGAGGGTAATTTTAGGTCTTTCGTTGACGATCAAAGCAGTCTCGGTCTTGGATGCAGAACCTGTCTTCTTTCGAACGCAGGCGAATTGATCAGGGGTTGAACACGTGTGGATGCCATTGGAAAATTTGAAGTAGTTGTGGTTTGTTGCCAACCATTGGGGGTACATTTTGCTGATAGATCATGATGAGCATGGATACTGAATATATCTGAATATTCAGGGATCCTGGGTAGGAGAAGATCAGTTGGTTTGCAAGTCCATGCCTATAGGAAAACTGGTTCTTCAACTCCATCTTTTCGCATCCAAGAAGGATGTGATTACTTCAGGGCAACTTTGCAGCTTTAAACTTTCTTAAATTGCAAAGAACACCACAGCAGTACTATCAAATGGCGCAAGGCTGGTGCAGTTCAACAAAGACTTCATAAGCGCTTACAGGGTGCAGATGGATTCATTGATGCTTAAAGAGAATTGATCAGAATTACTTTTTTGAAGTAGCGACTTTAATGGCCAAACCACCTAAACCAGCTGTTCTTGGTTGTCATTTGGTCGTCATTTTTGTTCTGATCTACTCCTTGATGGAAGTCAGACCGCAACGGCAGGTGCATGCTGCAATGACTGCCGCCGACATTGAGGACTGCTAACCCAGAATCCCAGTTTATTTACCAATATCTAGAGTAGTTTTCTTTTTTTTTTTCAAATTCAAATGTACACTATGAATTTCGGAAACTAGATTAATATGTTCTTACCAATCTCAATGGTATTTTAGAAAAGTATTTTGAGGGTAAAGTAATCGCCCACTTTTCTTTGTCAGGGTTTTATTCATCCGAATTCTGAAGGTTTTTTCCTCCAGAGTTGCGCATTTCGAACCCCAGATTCGATGAGTTGGGGGGATCAGTTGGGGTCAGGTACTTGTCAGGTCACTCCAGTGGCCAAAAGCAACACTAGAAACTGGCAACATTGGTATGTACTTTAGTTGGTTTGGCATGTACATATAGTATTGGTATGTACTTTTATTGGTATGTAAAGCCATAATAGTTGGTATGTACTTGAGTTGGTTCTTGTGCGCTGGCAGCTTATTTTTTGGTTTACTCAATTCCTCAATTCATTGGTATTCACATGGCACTGATGGGTCAACAATGATTGCCACCCTAGAACTTTTTTCAAGGCCATGCCTCTGTTTTGAATGCAGATATAACTAACCAAGGATGGAGGAAAATGTTGATCTACCCGGCCTGGTAAACATACAAAAAACTATGGAAAATCACCATGCTATTAATGGGTAAATCAACTATTTCGACTGGGCCATTTTCAATAGCTATGTTAGTTTACCAGAGGGTAACCTTTTGAATCATGGATGCGTCAAAGACAAACGACACCTCTTTTTCAGTATGCGTCAAGGAGGGTCAATCACCCAAATACAGATCAGAAAACTGATTATGGCCTCAAATTAAGCCAATACCACTTTTGTTTGCGTATGATGACTACCCAGTACATATGCTATAGCTGTGGATTGCTACCCAATTCCAATTGCATGATCACACGACAATTGGGCAAAACTACTTCCACTAAGTCCTTATCGCCTTATCGCAGTGTACTACAGTCCATTGCAATGCCTTATGAATGACTATGGGTACAAATACTTTATTAGCAACAAAACATCCATCATTGCAATAGTAATTGTAATGGATTATTGCACGATTCATTATTGGAACAAGGAAAAGATAAGTGGCCATTGGGTACACTTAATTTTCAAGATATTTTTATCAACAAATCATTACATAAAGCTACGGTAACGTTTCATTCCCCACATCTCCATGAAATTCTCCGCTTCTCCAGGAGAAGTTGCAGCCCGCTCTGGACGCGTGCCGCCGAGAGCCCGACACCACCATCTTGTGCTTTCTAGATGAGGTGAACACGGCGTGCCTCGGAGTCGACCATTTTGAATTTTGCCAATTTTCTCGGCAAAATTGGGACAACAAACTCAAGAAACTAAAAAAAAAGGGACCCAAGAAAAACTCTCACAGTCTGCCGGTTTCAGGATGGTTACATCCATATTAATTGGAAATCAGTTGGCCAAAGAGGGTTGATATGGTCCTTTTACATCCTTTTACCATATCATCAAATGGATGGTTGGGGCCGTTGTTTTGGGGCCGTTGTTTTGGGGAAAATATGGGGCCGTTCCCCGTGAAAGCCGGGCTTCGTTCTTCCGTTCTTCCTCCGAGATCCTGTTTGGGCTTCGTCAAAGCCATGCTTTGCGATGACCTATTTGGGCAACACAATGCCAACCTCTTCGTGGTGGCCGCTGCCAACCCCTACAGGGAGGAGGAGATGATGGCTTTGTTTGTTTATTGGGACATCAAAAAGATGTAGGAAACATGGTTTGTTTGGACATTCATATAGTCATAAACATTCATAAACCATGAAATTTGGGAGGAGATGATGGGTTTGCCCCCCAAATTTGATGGTTGATGACTATATTTGCCATCAAGCTGGCCACTTTATGGGTACACACCATTTTCAGATTCTTCAGATGATGGGGATCATCATCACATCCCATAGGTTTTATCAAACCCGGGCGGCTTGACATTGTGTAACCAGGGATATGTCGCCAAAACATCACATTCAATACCAACCCATCCCACTAGGACAAATCACCGAACGTTCGGATGATTCGATGATTCGATTTCGACATTCGAAACCAGTTTTCAAAGTGGGTCAATCGAGCGGTTGGGTATCATACTTGAGCTTCATAGTGGGCGGTTTCAAACTTTTTTGGGGATGATGATCCCAGGTCGCTGCCTGAATAGGGCTCAGTGAATATTAGGAGGAAGGGATGACACTTCGCTGCGCAGCTTTTCATGGGGAAGCACGGTGATAACACCAACAAGTTGGGACATATCCCCTGTGTTTATGGCTATACACCAACTCATCAAGTGGAACTGAATCCTCAAACACAGGGATATAATAGGGGATATATAAGCAACTTGATGTCCAAAAACGGGGACCCTCCAATTTATCACGATTTGCTTTTTTAGAAAACGGGGGCTTTAAACAATGGGATTCTGAAGAACCTAACCCATATATGAGATTCAATGGGTCAGAAATTAGCAGCTCAAAAAAGGAGTAGATGATTATAATTATATCCTTTGTGCTTCATTTTGGGTATTTGACTTTGCATGGTTTTAGCGGTTTCAACCCAAACTAGAAAACTAATGACTTCATCTACGAGTGCCCATTTATGTGCAATGAACCAGCCATCATCCGCTCCACCAGTTCATAGCTCCACTGGGTCTACTCGGTCCATGAAATGACTCTCTACCTCTTGGGGGTGCAGTTGAGATTACGAATCAGTACAACCATGGTGAACAAAACCCCCATAAGTTGCGATATAACCCCCCATAAGTATGGTATACGATGGTTATATATCCACTTACAACTGGAACTGCGCTTCCAAGCCGGGCTTTCCCTTCAGCCCATGGTGTCATGCTGTCATGCCATCTGGAGCTTCCAGGAGAAGGCTGAAGATCACGTACTTCGTGGCAGTGCCACGGTCATGCGCGATTTCTTTCAGGCGAAATCGAAACATTGCGGAACTTGGGGGAAAATTGCGGAAAATCGACAATCCCTATAATCCCTATACTATAAATGGTGTTTTAGTTTTAATGGGAACATCACGCACAAATGGTGGATTTTCCAGCAAGCCATGTTTGATGACACTGGAGGGTATTGTTATGATCCCATCCATGATGTGGAAGATATTTTCAAGCCGGACAGGTGGCTTTCCAAGTGGTTTGAAGAGTTGAAGATGGAAGCCAGTGGGGATTTATGTTGGTGTTTTGGTTCATTGCAAATCTATGGCATCTCAAACTTTAAAATCTGGATTCGGATCTTTGCACTGTAATCGGAGCGAAATGACCTTGGTTGTCTTTGTTGCGGACAGAACGGAAGCAAATCATTGAAGAACGAGGACCAGATCCGGCTGCTGTTCTGGGTTTGTTGTAATATGTTGCAATATTTTTCAATTACATCATACTATATATATATATAATTACATCACTATGTGAGATAATTCTCCCCAGTTGCCATTTTTTTCTGTTCAACACGGCAAACCGGTACCTTTGGTTTGCAACTGGCAGGTACATCCGCTTCCTCCTTCGTTTGACGCGCAGCTGGGTTCGGTGTTTTCTCAGCCTGGGAGCAGAACAGATTGGGAAGATCAGGGATTTAGCTGCTCTGGAGGTTTCCTAAGTCATGGGGGTACCCCCAAATTATCCAAGTAAAACCCATGGTTTTGGGGACGCCCATTCTGATCCGAACCAGCCGGTCCCACATTGCTTTTAGACACCTGAAGTCGTTCCCCTGGCAAGAGATCGATAGCCAACATTCAACATTCCTCGTAGAGCTCTGTGTCTAGGTCAAAATTTACAGTACTGTAGCAGATATGGAAAACGCACCATGTGTAGATCATGTTATTGGAAAACCTTATTTTTTTTCCATATCTACACCGTGGTGCCCCCAGTTATGTTTGCTGGTTTGCATTCACCTCATTATCTGCCCAGATATATCTAGGTACCATAAACCATAGAATTCACCGAGTGCTTCACCAATTTGGCTAAAAAAGGGGGGGGGGTGCCAGTTTAACCAGTTTGCAGGCCAACAAAAATACATAAAAATGCCATTCCTATCGGAGATACGACCAAGGTACATCTGGAATTGGAAGTCGCCAAGCATTCACGACGAAGAGCGCTATGCATTGCTGTTGCTTGCCAAAAGGATGAGCCCACAGACAGGCATATCAGACGAGGAACTTTGGCTGCAAAGTAATATAAAAAAAATATGTAGATAATACATATGTATATGATATGCATACACACATACTCGTATTAACATGTTGTAATTTGCGGCCGGTTTGATCTGGTGTTTAAAACGAGTGCCATTCAGCTGAATGGGTGTTATTTTACCAAGTGCATCCTGGGATGCTCCCAGAAAAGCCGGGGAGTTGCAAGGACTGGGGTGACTTCATCCTTGTTGCAGTTGTCAGCCCCCAACTGTTTTCCTTTTTAAATTGTGGCCCGGCTCACTCTTGTTGCGCTTGAGACATCCTAAGTCTTGAGTCTCCAAAAAGAGGGGCCTTGAACATATTTTTTTAAGGGTGTTTGATCTGGTTTGCCTTTCGACATCTATTTCAGCATATTATTCTGGTTGGTCTGGAACATTTTTTATTTTTCCATATATTGGGAATAATACTCCTAACTGACTAATATTTTTCAGAGGGGTAGGCTCAACCACCAACCAGTTGGTGTCAAAAACTGTTTTCAGCCATTCTGCTAATCCATTTTTCTTTCTGCGAGGATTTCCCCTGCTTTGCGCGAAGCATCGCAGATGCTCAGCAGTTCATGCGCCGTGAGCTCAAGTCAGCCTCCGCAGTGTCGCAACGTGATATCATTCGGGTCGCACCTTGGCAATTGAAACTCTCGCATTCTTGGTGGTTCACTACTGAATTGCAAGGAAGTTAGTCCACCAAGATGGAAGTTAGTCCACCAAAAATTGCTATGGAAAACCTTGCAATATCCATTTTGGATCAGTAGAGTTAGTCCACTCCTGGTCTTTTGACTCCACTGGGGGAATCAAAAGACCTGGTGACTTCCTGAGTCCTGATCATTTTATACCCCAAACGTGAGGTCCCGTGAGCTTCAGCACGGAAAAGGGTAAAACACCATGTCTTTTTGTGAGTTAAGGTCTTAGATGTTTGAAACCTATTCCAATTGACACGGAAACTGAGCAACACCGAGAAAACTTAGGAGGCAACAGTCCTTTCATCTCGCTGATTTGGATCTATGGAACTAGTTTGAAGAAATCTTAAAGACGAAATCCTAAACCTTCAGTGAATTCCAAGAATGCAAAGGCCTATCAGATGCATATCCCAAGTTTGATTGTCCAGAAACCCTTTGCCATCAAGACATCAACATAGCAACAGAGTGTTTATGCTGCCAACCAGGGATGTTTCCCACCCGATTTCTCACCAAAAAAAACCAGAAGGATTTGGCCTCCTGAAAGGGTGCCGTGGGTTGAACGTCTCATTGGACTTGTCATTGGAATGGTGGTTTCGCAACATGCAGCTGGAAACAAAAAGAGGACCCAGGTGTTGACCCTTGAACCCGTTTATGAGATTCGGTTCTTGCAGCTCAGCTTGGCCTTTTCCACAATGAACCTTGGTATGTCCTACAAATCAGCAACATGTTGTTCATTTCAGGAACAGCACATGCGAAATGGGAAATTTGTCAAAGTTACATACCCCAAAGAATGGAGGGTGAAATACAGTGAAATACAAAAAAAACGAGAAAGCGAGGCCCCGCTCCCAGTTATAAGAAGTTATAAGTCGGCTTATAAACCCACTGAAGTGTAGATATACCCGCCCCACTTTTCTGGGTCCAGACAGCTACTCAATTGTTTGGGTCTCATTGGACCTCCATGCCTGGCGCTCAGGTATCCCTATTGGATTTCTTTTGGCGGCGCAGCTACAGTGCGGTGGAGGCCTCTGAGCGATGTCGTTTGGCCCGTGCGCTGCTCTTGGCTCTTGGTGTGGCCTACTACTTGGGATTGAAACTTTGGAGCAAGTCCCGTAGCTGTGGGATCTGTCGAAGTCCGATTTTAGTGTGGCTGAAGCAGGGCCGAGAAGTAGGGTAGCGTCTGACAGGTAACCAGGTAGCAGTTGATGGTTCCAAGTCTTGCTTTTCAATCCCTACCTGCCCTACCTGACTAACTCAGTTCACCAAGGTTTCTGGGGTGAAGCCTCCAAACCAGCCGTCAATGTAGGACGGATGATCCGAATGTGTCCTAGTCGGGGCCAGGGGAGTCCCCGGCCACCAGAGAGATTCCATGCTCCGGAACTCCGCCACAAGGTGATGTTTATCAAAGACATGTAGGGAAGCCTGAAGTGCAGGCCTCCAAAGATTTCTGGACATCTTTTTGTGTCATCATTTTCCAACATTTTCTGAGGGAAGTAGCCTCCAACTCAACTTAGAGCTCAGGAACCGTGAGCAGAGGGATCGCTTTGTCAAGGAGGCTTGGATGGATTGGGTTGCAATAGACTTATATTTTGAGTTTTTTTGGGGTTAGATATGGTTAGATGGATCTGCCACACAAGCCATTGAAACTTCAGAGGATCAACAAACCATCAAGTTTCAAAGGTGGTGGTTAGTCAGCAATGGAACTTTTAGCCCTTGGAAAAGTGTCTCTGGCAAGTGTCAAAAAATTGCCAGCAAAAACCTCAGTCCTCAATGGTTGAAGGTGGGTGGACGTCCATGACGTCCCAACATTGCTTGCAGCTTCCCGAAAGATTTCCGAGGGATTCACCCATGAACACACCCTAGGATCTGTCGATGCGTCCCATCTGTCGAGGTCACAGAAAAGCATTATACAGGCATTCAAGGGGAGGAAACCCAGCATAGCCTCGATCTGACGCAAGTTCTCATGCAGGACCCCGAATTTTTCGATGGCTTGAGCCACCAAACTGACCCATATCACCGAGAAGTTGGGGAGTCAATGAAAATGAGTATGGGTCAGTACTAAACTTACTAAACAACCCCCAACATCCGGGGCCATTTTAGATGGACAGCACTGGAGAATGGTTTCCAGTATAGCCCCCACATGGTCAGTTATTTGGTTTGGGAAAGTGGGAAGTGTTTGTGTTGCTGTCTCCTGAACTACCACAATATCTCAGAGAGGACTTTCTTTTTGTGTAGAGAATCTTGCATGTCGCAGCAAGGGATAGACCCTTTCAGGCAGTGAATGAACATGAAAAATGAACCACCTTGAAGTGAGTCGCTCGCTTCCTTAGTATTTTCAGTACAATACGTACAGAAGAGCTTCGGGCTGCAACTATCGTCTTGGATGGCGCGACAAAAATTGGGTTGGCGTAAGGGAAACATCTACAGGAAAGCATGAGGTTCACCAGCCATTTTGTTGGTGTCATTTTGGGTTGCCAAGAACTGGCGTAAGGGAAACATCTACAGGAACATAACAATTTTGGGTAACATGGTGTCATCGGCCCGATGAGTAAACGAACTGGCTGGTTCCCCTGAAATCACTGATGCGCTTTCGCTAGGAGATGGATCAATACATCAAGCCCATCAAAGATGATGAAGAGCTGGCCGATGGGATTGCCTTAACCAGGGCACTCAAGGAAAACATCTTTGCGGTCATTGTCGGGATCGAGTGCAACATCCCAGCCTCCAAGCTGAAGTTCACACATTTGGAAGGTTACTTTAGCCCAAGTAGATATACCATAGATATACCATAGATATACCATAGATATACCATACCTAAACCCGTCAAGTTGTCAAGTTGTATGTGGCTGGGAGCTATAAGAATCCCTTCCACAAAAACATCCTAAATTGACATCCCGTTGAACATGTTGAAATCATCACAAAAGAGTTGTAGGCAAATCGGGGGGGGGGGTTTGCGCATAAGTCGACATATGTTTATATATATATATATTATAATTAATTCATAATTCATAGTATACCTGGATCTTCGAAAGGATACAAATAAGTGTCCGTTTCCAAGATTTCTGCCCTTAGGGCGGATTTCTTGTGAAGGAGCTGGAAGTGGTCACTTTTTGATTATTGTGGTTAATTTTGGATTTCGTGCCTTTTGGGCTGATCTTACTCTACTTTGCGTAAAAACGTGTCGATTTTTTTGGGCGGAATTTCCCGGGAAAAAGGCGGAAATACCCGGGAAAAGGGCGGAAATACCCGGGCAGATTCATCATGACTCAAAAATCAAAACATGAAGTGGCATGTGTTTTCTTGAAATTGTCATTTTTGTTTTGAAATGGGTAAATCTCCAAAAAATGGTCAGAAATCAAACCAAAATCTGCCCTGGAAAGAAATTTGTAACCAATGAATATCCAGGTATATATATATATACACATATATACATACACATGTATACATACTGGTGCATTGGGTGTGTCGCAACATCAATATATGCATATAATATTATATATATATAGATATGTCCCCTTCAGACCCATGGCTTTTCCCACCACAATCGCCCCATGGTCCGGCCGTGAAAAAAATGAGGTGATGATCGTAGGAATGCCTGGAACTGGGAAGACCTTGGCCGTGAACAAAGCGACCAGCGTTTTGAGGGGCACAAATTCGGTGCACTTCTTTCGACGCTTCAGCCACTGACCGTGAATGTTTAAGGGTCCAGTGTCCACCAATGTCCTATTGATGGTTGATGGGTCAAAGGGGGTCATACCAGATCGCTGAATGGGGAACATGATCATTCCGGATGAGAATCCCAATTGTAGACATCAGGATGGCGACCGTCAGCCAGGACAGGCTGAAATGGAGGTTGTAAAGGCCACTGTTTGCCCACATGGCATGCGATTTATACATCCAGAAGGGCTTAGAACTTTGCTTGAATTTGACATGACATTAACTATTCATTTCAAACACTACTAGGTCTACGAAATTCAAACAGAATTAGGTCTGTGAATATGAAACAGAATTAGGTCAATGATTTTCAAGCATTAGGTCTATCGATTTCAACAGTACTTTGTCTATGAATCTCAATCAGTATTAGGCCTATGATTTTCAATCAGTGCTATGTCTATGAGTTTCAATAAGTATTGGGTCTATGCTAAGTATCAGTTTATATTTTGACTATTTGATCACAGAAATCATACACTGATACTTATGAATTGTGAATCACATATTTATTAGTAGTAGTATCATTTAGATTAGTTTGGTATGCTGATCAATTTACAGTAATTCATTTCAGCCTGGATTCATTCACAACACAAGAGGATCAGGAAACATCGACTGATGAGTAGATAACTTGAACAGGTGCCTTTGAAGTATTCCTCTAGATTACTTTTTGTTCTTTTCCCGGATTGAGATATAATGTATATTTTATATTGTTATTTGTCCTTGGATCTTTCATGCGTCACATTGTTTTACATTCATGATTATTTTCACACTTACTATTTCATCACCATTGTTTTTGTGATTAGTATTGCTGTTGCAGTCGTTTTCTTTTTTTTAAAATGATATATTCAAGTGTTTCTGTGCAAGCGTGTTTTAATCGGTTGCATCTGTTTGTTCTAATGTCGCTTGGTGGTTCATCCTGACTGATGTGGCATCGCTCCTGTTCGCTTCACAGTGGTGTTTGTATTTTCCAGTTTGGATTGCAATGTTTCGGCTTTCACCCGCTCTCCGCACAAGCTCCACCCAATTTTTTTGGATGACCCTGCAATTGATGGTGGGCTCTAGGTACCATCATAGCAATCCCTCGTCAAATGTCCGATGCGTGCTGCCCCCAAAACAAGAAAAATAGAACTACAACAGAAGACTTAAAAAACACATATCAACTATAAAGACACAAGTAGAAATAAGATGATTTTTAAGTAGAACTACAACAAACAAAATACCAAGAAGAAAACAGAAATATCCATGGGCCCACCCGTTGTGGCCTGCAGTCTTTGTTTCACGGGCCAGGTGACGTTGCGAACTCGGTCTTTCGATATCAATGCTCCAAGGACAGCACGTCACGTCAGATCCATGAGGCCGCGTTGCGGCCGCAACGGTGAGATGTTTGGAGAGTTTTTAGCAATAGGATCCACCATCCCCAATTGTACGAAAAAAATGGTTGTTTTTTTAGCCATGAAAATATGACTGGTTCATGATTGCTTTCCGAACATTAGGTTTCTTGTTTGGGATTCATGGTTGAACTTGTCACCTCCACCATGTATTGGTCTTCATTTGTCTTCATATGTCTTCATAATTTTCATTGCACCATGTTTGGTGGTTAAAGTCAGAACTTGCATGAACTTGCTCACTATCCATTTTTTGTTGGTTATGGCCACTTTACACACGCGCCGATGCTCAGATGCACCAAGCGTTTTGAGGTCTTTGAAAGTGCGCTGCGAGCGAAGCAGCGCTATGATGCAGAGGATCCGGTGGCAACGTGGGATCGGGCGCTTGAGAAGTGGGGCATCTCACTTTCGTTTGAGAAACTCTGAAAACTGGGGATAATGTGGATGTGGGTCAAAATGGAAGACCTAGGGGACCACAGATGTTAGTCTAGTTTAGTATTCACCATCCAATTATTGGGGTACCTAATTTTGACCGATACCCATGTGGTTAGATCAATAATAAACTACCCATGACTGGGAATGGTTTCTACATACCACCTATAAAAATGGTGATGACTGGGGGATGGTTTATGGCATTGTTTTAACCACATTAATTACTCGACTTTCCACCAACTTCAGAACAGTTCTTTTTGAATCATCCTTTGGACAAAAAGGCAATGGACAATCTCCACGATGACCAGAGCGCAGGTCTCAGGAAAAATCCGCGATTTCACAGCTTTCACACGCATATTTTCCATATTTTCCATCCAAAAAATGAGCGTATGTCCCAATCATTTTGTCGAGGCTTCTACATTCTTCTACTTTTATTTTATTTTTGTCAATCCTTCTTGTTCGTTTGTACTAGGACCATCCAACTGATGCTCGAAAAAATGGTGACATGGGTATATCCGATTGCAAATCATGAAGGAAGACACCAACATTATCTTACTGGTGCGTTTTACGTAGGGAATGGTGGAATGTTCCAATGAAAATAAGGATTAACTAGTATTAGCAATCATCCCAGCAACCCCCATTCCCTACGTTTAGCACCAGTAAGTTATCCCGCATTTTTTAAATAGCACATAGCCACCATAAACCATATGGGTATGGATCAATACCTATTAATACCATTTTTAGGGGAATGAACATCCATTTACCAGCTATTTTGATGTTCACCAGGGGTACAAGGTTTTGACACACTGCCATATGATAGCCCAAACCATGGCGGCTGGCTGGTTTTTATATGGCTGGCTGACTGCGAGAGGATGCTGGAAGACGACCAGTGGTCTTCTTGGATGAAGCGGGTTTACCCAAGGAGAAAGTGGAGAGTCTGAAGGCCATTCACTACTGGATAGATGATGGACCCTTGGATGATGAAATATGTGTTTTGTTATGTTTTGTTGGCTCGCTTCAGAGTGGGAATGTGTTTTCAAAAAAGGTCATAGAAAGGGGCAAACGCAACTGCACAAAGGAGAATCTGGTGAAAATGGCCGGAAAAGGTCTTTTTTCAGGTGATTTCTGGATGTTCGCAGGGTTTTTTCTTCCTGTTCAAATTCGTTTAAGCCGGGGGCCCCCGAAGAGTTGATTTGTCCATAGCAGTGCTTGATAGGGCCATAGGGGGTTCTACTGGGTAGTTTAATTAATGGGATCCAATCAACTATCAATATAAACCAGTTAACTGTCCAATTAACCGAATTAGTAGAAGCCTATAATCTACTGCTTGATTATGAGAATCCACTGTGGGAATCCCTATCAACCAACCAGTAGAACCAATTCGCAACCAGCTTCTTCACGATGCTCATATGCAACTGAGAGATAAAAACCGAGGTCGCATCTTCTGCTGCCTGTTGGCGAACAAACCGCTGGATGCAGCCAAGCGTAACCGATGCTTGCAAGTCTTTCGAGACAAAGCTGATGAAGAGGATTTAGAGCAGCTGGGCGTTCAGAACGGGACTTGAGAAGAAGGGAAAAAAACATAAACACCCGACTGTGTTGATATTCTTGGCAGTGATTTTGTTCAAGAAATTTCAATGATTTGACTGCCAATTTTTTGGGTGCTTGACCACAAATTGACTGCCAAATTGTTTGCAAGTACTAGCTGCCTGTGATTGTACAACCATCCCAAGGTTTTAAAGCTTGCACAATTTGAGAAACCTAAGCAGAACTCTTTCTTCACCAGCGAGTACTGACCACCCAGTCGTTCTGAAGTAACCATCGCCAAATCCCACCATTTGTCACGGACACCTTGAGCACTTGAACATGATTCCACTCTCGGATTGGCATGAGTCAACACTTGAAGACCGGGGATAACTTGCAGATGTTGGTCATTTGGAATTTGATTTTTATCACAATTTGGCATCGAATTTGGTGCCCAAACGGAGGTTGCTCGCCTCCGTTTGCCTGGGAGTAAACCTTGAAGACCCGACTTCCAAGTCCATGGTGAAAGGCTTCTGTGGCTCGATCAAGATGTGGGATTGATATGGATTGATGGTTGATACCCTCTGGTGAACTAACATAGCAATTGAAAATGGCCATTTATAGTGGAATTTCCCATTAAAAATGGTGATTTTCCATTGCTATGTTAGTTCACCAGAGGGTAGTCATGAATGTGAAACTACCCTCTGGTAATTTGTTACATAGCTATTGAACATGGCCCAGTCGAAATAGTGAGTTTTCCATCGTTTTCCCATGAAAAAAGGTGATTTTACGTTAGTTTACCAGAGGGTAAAACAAAACACGTACTGTAGTACTGGAGGGTCGCACAAAAAATCATTTTCCAATTGGGTAGATGATTGGGATATGTGTTTGACTCTCATCATGCTTGGGTGATATAGCCAACAAGGGTCAGGTAATGTCAGGTTTGTCCAAAACCATCGGACGTAACCCCAGATCACAATGAAGAGTAGCACTTGTTTGGGACAAGTAAAGCTCTACAATGGGAACCCAGGGTACCCGACCGTAAGCAATGCCTGGTCGATTAAGCGTGGAAGGCTGTTTGAATGGCAGTTTGAAAGGCAGATGAAATCACTTTTCTTGTCGTGAGGCTTCCATTTCAACTTTATAATCCGGGGTTGACATTAAAGGGGTCCCCAAGAAGACAGAAAGAGTAAATGCCCCATCAGAATACTTGGCATTTTCACCGATTCCTATAGCAACATGCATCTACTTTGACAGTGCGAATGGTGGTCCAACGGGACAACATGGACAACTTTGCCACAGCGCAAAAGGGTGGTATGGAACTTGTGGACTTGACCTAACATTGCCCCGATTCTGTAAATATCCATCTGTTTGACCGGCATCTGTTTGCCAAAATATAGTAGTTGACCCTTGCTTATCTTCAGTACCCGCTGTTACAGCATGCGGATGCGCAAATGTCTATGCGAGATTACCCAGAAGTACAGTGCCAGAGATGGAATAGACATGATGATGGGTCAAAACCTATTATTACCATACTTGGGGGATTAAACATCCATTAACCAGCTATTTAAGGGTACCTAGGGTAACAGGATTTTGACTCATAGCCACATCAAGGAAGCATTTTCTTTCGCCGCAGCTGTGTGAAGAATTTCTACACAACGGCAACGGCAATCCTGTATGGATTGTCCACATCTGCGGAATTTTCTGGACAGTCGGACACCCAAAATCCCAGGGTTCATAAATGGTCATGTCATCAGGGATTCCCTGCTTAAAATCTTAGTATTCCAAGGAGGGTTCATAAATGATTATGACAATTTTAATGAAACATCATATGGGTAAAGCAATTCATGGGACAAGATCATCCAATTTATGGGGTTTATTAACTGATGATTTCAGATTGGAAAATGGGTATACCATATTGTATGTAATATTTATCCCTGTTGGAAAATTGGCCAATTTATGCAGGATGGGGCCCCCCAGTTATAAGTTGGTTTATAAACCATGATAATCCCCATTAACTATAGTTATATTACAGTTATATCTACCATAAACCATAGTTAAACCACTTATAAACCAACTTAGCTATCTTGGGGGCCCCATCTTGTGGGTATACTGGCCATGTTCAGATGCCATATCCACGTTTTTTCTGGTTGATCTTGTCACATCGTGACTCAAAATTTTCATTGCCCAGCCTGGCGCCACTTAAGCGTGGCCACAAAGATGAGAGTCCATGGCAGATCCCGGGGATATCCAGGTCACCATGGGTTTCAATACTTCGATTCTTCAACTTACCAGCTGGTTATGACTAACATTTCGCCATGGAACATCCCGTAAATCAATGGAGGTTTATAGCTGGGAAAATCATCGACATTTCTACGGGCCATGGCTTCCATGGCGAACTGTTAAATAACCAGAGGGTACTTGTGCGAAGTTCGTAGGGAATTTTCGGGAATGATCCACTGGCTAACTATCAAGCAGATCATCCCAGCAACCCCCAGCAGCCCATCCAGCAACCCTACGTTTAGCACCGCACCAGTAAGTCAAGTACCACCAGCCATTAGGAAACCTCCACGATGGTATTTTGAAATCATCTTAATGCCTCACGATAGATATGACCCGTGCATCTACGTTTTCCCAACCTTGGTTGCCACCCCTGCTGTACCCTTTTTCTGAGGTGGTGCTTTCCAGGAAATCTCTGAGCAGAGCTGGAAGGCGAAAACTGCGTGCCCGCTATAGGCTATAGCCCCACAGATCTGGTTCCAAGCTGATAAGAGGGGCTTTACCCTCTGGTAAACTAAGATAACTATGGGAAATCACCATTTTCAATGGGTAAATCCACTATAAATGGCCATTTTCAATAGCTATGTTAATTTACCAGAGGGTATGTACTTGTAAGATCTTGTAAGCCTCGTGTTTTTCTTTGCTGACTATGGCATAGATTCATAGATCAATGAATCATTGAATGATGGCATCGAAGGGTACATGTGGCAACAGTGCCTGATGTGGCAGCTGTGGCGGTTTTCTTGAAATTCCAGCCCATGGACCTATACTCTTGCCGCATGGGGTTGCATCAATGCCAGGACCAAGACAACGCCTTCAGCATGTTTCACCTCAGGGACTTTCATCACTGCCTCAGGTGCCAACAGGATGTGACAATGAGTCTATGCTTGATCTTAACCCGACACAGCAGAAAGGACAAGGGACCCAAGGTTTGCACAGAATCTTTTTTGCCATGATGTTGTTGGGGTGACATTGGCCATCTAACTACAGAGATATCCATTAAAAGCACTAGTGAAGCTAGTTAAAAACCAGGCTATTAACCAACTTCCCTACAGGATGGGGCCCCATAGTTAGCTAAGTTGGTTTATAACTATAATAACAATAGTGTATGATACTTGTAACTATATTTAGATGGGGTTATAAACCAACTTATAACTGGGGGGGCCCATCCTGTATGGTTTGGCCCCTTGCGCCACAGGTACCTCCGACGCCACGGGCATGTTCAGAGCGGCTCCGCCAGCAGCCTGTCTGTGCTGCGAGCGGCTCAGCTCCCCAGTATTTGGGGGTGCAGTTGGAGTTGTTCTACTGGGTATTAGCAACGGTACTTACCCTCTGGTAATTTGTTACATAGCTATTGAAAATGGCCATTTATAGTGAGTTTTCCCATTAAACATGGTGATTTTCCATAGTTATGTTAAATTACCGGAGGGTAGGCATCTTAGGCCAAAACCGGCTTTTTTTCAAGTCATTTCAGGCTTCAGGTATGGGAAATCATAGGTATAGCGTATAGCTATAATTAATCGTGGTGATTTCACCTTAAGTTGAGACATGGTCCTGGCAACGGTGCTAGATACGCAAGCCCCTCTGCCTGATCTGTAAGGTTTTCTGGGTCCATCGGTACATAGGTTAGGGATGATGGTGTGGGGCTCAGCACTGGTCCTTTTCCACACCGGAGGTTTTGAGGTTGGGTAAACTTTGGTTGGCTGTGTTGATATGTGTTGATTGTTGATCGGCTCAGTTTTGCTCCGGTGAATCTTTCGTATCCAACCAATCCAACCACTTTTTTTTTTCGCTTCAGAGTTGAATCTCCTGTTATCCCATGTTAGATGATTGAAACCGCACTGTTGATGGTCAAATCATCTTAAACTGCTATTTTTTGGGGCAGCGAATCTAAGATTAGCTGCGGCTTTGTCCACGACAAAGCCGCCAAGTCCTATTTTTTGGACATGTTGCAGGCTTTGGAGCGTAATTTCGGCGGCTTAAAGAAAGAGGACGGAGCGAAAAACAACGGGGCAGATGGGTCAAGCCAAACGCTTTGCGTAAGGAATGACATGAAGAATTGCATGCCATTGGGGCCTATGGAGGGTAGTTGATACGAATGGTGGATGGGACTACTTTACTTTTTTGAAATTTGCCATACGAATGGGTCGTTTTCATGGTCATGTTACATTGCCAGAGGGTACCCAGCAAGTGGGTAGAAGGTGAGGCGCCCGACTTTCCATGGCCATTTCTACGGGTTTTAAACACCTGTTGCCGTTGCCTTCCTACAACCAGTAGTATCTAGTTCAGTGAATCCCCAACCTGCTATATGAGATATAATTATGTAATCATACATATTTACAAATACACATACATATGAGTAGTAGACACACCATAAAATCGGTGTGTATGTAGCCCCTGAATTCAGAGAGCTCAGCCGCAGTGTATTTCGCTACGACGGCTTGTTGGGAAAAAATCGATTCAAAAAAAAGGTGGATATTCATAATGTATATGTATATATGCACATAGATGATCTAATATTTAGCTGGTTCCAAGCTTCTTATTCAGACTCCACTTCAGGATTTCCAGCGTTTGATCGACATCTTCTTCCGGCACTTGGAGCGAGAGACGGGTGGCCTGTTGACCTTGCCCGAGCGCTCGCAGCTGCGTGGCACGCTGGACGTGCTGCGCGAGGCATTGGATGATTTGCCACCAGAAGATCTGCAGGCGTCGCAGGGAGCTGGGGATCTGGTGCGAAGTAGCGCTTTTGATTTGTGATATTTGTGGAAAGCAAAATGCTTTAACCATTTTTAAACTTGAATCAGGTTCAAAAAATCCCTGGTGGGATATACCCTCTGGTAATTTAACATAGCTGCTATTGAAAATGGCTATTGAAATAGTGGATTTACCCATTAAAAATGGTGGATCTTTCCATAGTTATGTAAACGTTTACCAGAGGGTAACCTTGAATCAGGTTCAAAAAATCCCTGGGGGGATAGAACTGCATAGTCGTTCAGATCTCAGTGCGAAACTTTCCGAGTGTGCTAAGTTGCAAGGTGTGGCCCTGGCCCAAAGCGTTTTTTCGAAATCGCTAAGTTGGTAAAGAACTCCAATTTCACTAATAAGTATAGTCAATGGGGTTTATAAGCCAACAAACACAACTGGAAAGATCCACCTTGTAGGGTTGAATTGTCGGATTTTCAGGAGATTTATGACTTTTGCATGATCGAAATTGGATTGGTCGTCACATATTTCTTGAGGTTAGAGAACTGATTAGGATGCTCGGACGTTCCCAGGCTGACTGTCTAAGTGATGGGACCTGGGCAATAAGTGAAAAATCCAGTTGTGCGAGGACCTCTTGGAGCCATGAAATGGGTTGGATACCCACTTCTCAGGTTTCAGGGTCCCAGGTTCGCAATTTCGATAATTGTAAGCTGAGATTTATTGTCAAAATAATAGGTCTGATTTAAGATCCATGGGACATTAATCAATCACCTCGGATTTTATGGATTGTGGTCATTGTTTCGTATTTAAATCATCCATTTTTTTGGCATCTAGCAACTCACCTACACCCACCTGGATTTTCATACGCTCACCTGCCAATCCCACAATCTTCATGGTGGTAGACACTGTTCTACTTTTTGTTTCTTTACTCTCTCTCTCTCTCTCCCCAATCTTGAATAGGTAGATGAATCCTTTAGTTTTTTGCTATATTATATTATATTATATTATAGTATATTATATTATATTACTATACACATGATATTAATATTATAATGCTATACGCTATCTTATATAACTATACTATATTATATTATCCTTTGGTTGCTTGAAATTTTGACGCCAGGATGCGCGTTACGAGCCCTGCCGTTACAAGTTGATCATCGATGAGACCGAGGACGGCGGCGCGGTGCGCATCCTGCAAGCGGCGGGACTTCTGCCCATGCCCTGGGAGGTGTTGGAAGTCTCCGACCTGCCAGGCCACGGGGTGTGCTTTAAACCACAGGTATAACCCAAAATATGTATATATCAAGTGGTATATACTGAGATTATAGATGAATTATATAAACTATATATACAAACTATATATAAAAACTATATATATATATCTAAACTATATATATATATATACACATGAGACTGGGGTATGATAATATGGTTACTAGCCACTTGTTGGGATGGACCCCCAAGTACAGCCATTCATTTTAAGGGACCAACCATAGGCCATTGGAGTTTTAGCAACTGTAAATGGGTAAATCATTTGAATCTGTTTGGATATTTGATCTATATGGCGCTCAACGAATAAAGTTATGGAGGCAATAAAGGCAACCATTTTATGAAAGAAAATGATGATTGGGATGTGCTGCCATAATTTACCCTCTGGTAAACTAACGTAACTATGGAAAATCACCATGTTTAATTGGTAAATCCACTATAAATGGCCATGTTCAATAGCTATGTTAGTTTACCAGAGGGTAGGAAGAATTCACAACCCGAGATTGGAGGACCAGCAATTGTTGGTGGAGTCTCGTGGGGAGATCCTAATTTTCCAAATGGGATGACCACCGACCCTGGGCCTTACGATCACCAGGTTTCTTAACCACTTAGAAGTTGTGGATGTGGGTAGCGTCACGGGTCCATTCTTTGCAATACATGGGGACGAGATACTATCCAACGGCATGTTTATTCTTTCCAGAGCATCCAAGATTTGCCATGATGTGACTCATTCGGAACTTTGAGGTTTGCAGATATCTGCATTCTTTGCATGTAATCAAACATCACTGTTTGGTGGCTCAGTACTGGTTGGCGTTCTCAAAGGGGTGATGTGTATCTCCATGTCTTGGATCTTAGGGTTTTTTCGAAGATGAGAATGGGAAATCCAGCCTTTTGACAGATGAATTAATCAATGCTGCCTATAATACTAAACACCCCCCAAGAAACTATGGTTTAGGTGCGGATTTTTATGGTTTGTCCAGAAACGGTGTATCTTCAATGAAATTGCAATTTTTCTGAGGGAAATGCCCCACTTCTCCATGGGATGGAATTTTCGGATTTTCTCAGAAATTCTCGTCACATCTCCACAGGTGACCGTAGCGACTTGCATCGAAGTCAGACGGTCAGCAACTTGCGACGCGCTGCAGAGCAAGCGGGGACCTGTGTACCTGGGCGTTCACGAGCTACGGCTGGCCGGCTGTTCTCATGGCCCCAGTGTGCATGGTTAGTATTGGGGGAATCATCATGCAATGGTTACATTGACCACCTTAACCATAGCTATTATCAAAGAAATGTAAGTGATTGATCATAATTGAGGATGAAGGAATCAAATTTTTAGTCAGACTTACTCCTTCCAAAAGTCTGATACATACGGACGTTTGTTATTGGCCTTCATTTTGGATCTGCCTTCCAAACTGGTGAAGAGTCTACGTGCTACCAACGAGTTCTGGACAGGGGACGAACCAGATTTGGACCACTTTACAAGTGCAGATGTGGCCACACAGGTCATCCATGGATCGGGCGGTTAGCACCTATTTTCCAACTCCAACTTGACCTGACAATGATTCGGCCCTTGCCAGATGCAAATGGCAGTGTGTCAAAACCTTGTACCCCTGGTGAACATCAAAATAGCTGGTAAATGGATGTTCATCCCACTAAAAATGGTATTAATCGGTATTGATCCATACCCAAATAGGATTTTGACTATGTCATCAACCCACAAGCCACGATTCACTATGAGCTAACCATAGCTAACCTGTGGACTCCGGACCCTGCTTCTGTCGATTGGTGTCCGCATTTCGGATTAATCCCCTCTTTGTGAGTGGAAATCCCCTATGTCAATCGGCAAAAACCGAATTCGTTGGGTCGACGAATCCCGGTTTTTGTTGGTAAGACGTGCATTTTTGGTCAACCATTCCTCCGATCTGGTGAACATGACGAATTGGTGAAATCAGCATTGTTGATGCAAATCCGTAAATCCGGATCTTTGTTTCTTAGGCCTTCTTTCTGAGCTTGACCCTGGTGCCGTTCGATTCCATTTTTGGCAACATCTCATTGTAAGCCCCAAACAGATGCCGAACAGATCGGAAAAGTGTTTCCCAGCCAGGATGTCGATGAAGCGACGAATTCGATGATATTTGTCAAGCATATTTTTCTAGGTTTCTTGCCCGCGGCACCTCTTTGTGGGATGCTATAAATCATCCCCCCTGAGGTGATGATTGCCTATGACGAGATCTTGGATGGTTCCTTGTTGATGGTTTCATGAGGATGAAAAAAACATCCACCCCAAAGGATAAATTTTGGATGATGATTGGTCGTCGTTTCCCTATCTTTGTTGCTTAAATGCGTAATTTGGTTGGTGAATATCCTGGTTTTGGCTGGTTTTGCAGGTAAAATACCATATGTCATATGTTTATTTAGTTCCAAAAATGAGATTCCAAAGATGGTTCATTCAATCCCAACGCTTGTTAGTTAGATCCCAATTCTTGTTGGTTAACATATGATGTTTTTATGATGACTACCCTCTGGTAAACTAACAGTTTGCTATGGAAAACCACCATTTTTAATGGGAAAATCCACTATAAATCACCATTTTCCATAGATATGTTAAATTACCAGAGGGTAACAAGGTCAATCCCCCCGGCTGAAGGTTTCTATGACCTGCTGAATCTCCGTTTCCAGCGCCTCCCCGGCTCCGGCCGGGTGCGCTTCGCTGCGACCGTGGCGGCCGGGAGCTACTCGGTGTTGGCACCGGTGGATCCGCGCTTCATGCTGGTGGTTTGCATCAAGGTGCCGCTTCACAGATGGTGGGGAATCTACCCGGCCTGGTAATTTGTTACAAAGCTATTGAAAATGGCCATAGAAATAGTGAGTTTTCCCATTAAAAATGGTGATTTTCCATAGTTAGGTTAGTTTACCAGAGGGTATAGTGGTTGGGATATAATGGGATATAATGGGATATTTCTTGGGATATTTCCTTCAACATTCTTCAGTTCTTCATCATCTTCATCTGCGTCATGTTGTTTTGCTGTTGAAACCGACTTCAGTAACCGAGAACCATGATACAAAATCAAGGTCTTTCTTGGGTTGCAAGAAATGATTGTATATGATGTCTGGCGCTGGTGGGTGTCACCTTCCGTAGCCATGAAGTGGTGAGCTTGAGCTTGGTTAGATCACTTGGCTAATCAACGAATTGACTAATATAGCCAACAAACATGTGGATTAATTAAACACATGGATTCAACAAGGCAAAAAGATCCAAAAAGGGGATTTAACCATCCACGATGGGGATTTAGCCACTGGATATATACTGGATATATACTGGATGCTTTGTCCCAGAACGGTGTATACCCTAATTTGTATTGCAGGTTGAGTGGGGAAAGTGTTGAGTTCATCCCCAAGGGATGTCGGGGAAGCCCATTTTCACACAAACTCCATGTCGGAGTAAACATAGGGAAGCGACCCACAAAATCTGGATTTCCACCCCACCAACATGGAGACTGGAACCAAAGGGGATGTGAAGCATGTGAAGCGAGGTAGAACTGACTAGTTACCCTCTGGTAATTTAACGTAGCTATTGAAAATGACCATAGAAATAGTGGATTTTCCCATTAAAAATGGTGGATCTTTCAAGTTCGCAAACTGTTAGTTTACCAGAGGGTAACTCGTTTTTTTTGGGATGGCTTGAAGCCAACAAGCTATTACGATTGTGTGAAAGGGAACCAACTCTCCGTCGAGACCAGAGGGAAATTCTGTGCACCGATTTCCCATTGTGGAAATCAATTAAAGATGACGATGATGCTTCCAATTGCCCGATGCTGAGATGAACATCTAAATATTCCCGTGAAGAATCATGATTGCTTAGCATATATTCAGCCATCAATTGGATACTCTTGCAAAGTACCATAAGAAGCTTCTGACCCAGCATAAATTTGCAGCATTGTTTGACAGAAACATTGCAAACAAACCCTGGCTGCCTGTGCGTTCTCCATCTGAATCCATCACGGGACACCGGTGAAGCGACAACATTCTATTGCTTTAGGGAATACAGTAAACAACTTGGATACAGCACGGTATATATTATACATGTGTACGTATACATGTATGTACATGTAAATGTAAATGTAAATGTAAATGTAAATGTAAATGTAAATGCATATATATATATGTATGTCTATTTGACTACCATGAAACGCTCCCAGTACAACACAACAAGAATGGGTGTCTCGCAAGATATCATCTAAGGCCTGCTTGTTAGGAGTCTTTTTGGCAAAAAAATCCCCCACTATAATTCCACCAGAAGACCAAAAACATTTCAAAAAAGCAAGAAACACTAAATGAACCCAATTGGATTTTGATTGGTTTTGTTGGGTTTTTGTAGGTTTCCTTAAGGCTAAAGCAATCAGGGTCTGTGGGATGACATATTCAGATGACAATGGATGATGGCATGAGTTGCTGCAGAATGGGTTCAGTCCAAGCCTCGCCATTTGGGTCAAGGCAGGATGCCAACCTCCAAGAGAAAGGGTATTCCTTGAACATGTTCACTCCCAAAGGATTACATTCACCATCCCACCCAATCAAAGCACCATCCCAACCACTATACCACCTCAACCATTAGGATGATACATTATCATTATCATCATTAAAGTATTCAAACAAAAAATCTTTGGATGACACATGTTCCCAAAAACAAAACATACACAAGGGCAGCATTCTGTTCCATCATTTCATTTTCCAAAGTTTGTGCTTGGACAGCCTTGGGCAGCTTTCCCCATTTGTGGGATTTTGGTGGGGTTTCGATTGGGTTTTGGTGGGCTTTTGATGGGCTTTTAGTGGCAATTAAGCAGGAATGTTGTGGGGTTGCGGGAGATCATGAGGCTGCCAAAAAGCCATGCAAACCACCATTGGAATCCCAAAAGGCATTGCCGAAAACTAAATTGACACCCACATCAACACCCCTAAACCCAAAGCATTCAGAGAGGTTTTAGCTGGTGATTGGATACACTTTTGCTGGCCCAAGCCAAGCACTGTAGGAGGCTAACTACCATGGCTAGTGGTGATGAGATTCATGATGCTGAGAGAAAACATGTGTGAATTGTGCTGGATTGCCAGGGCTTTGATTGGGATTTCCCATGATTTATTTAGGGTTTTCTGTGGTGTTCCAGGGCTTGAGTGGGAACAAGCTGGGTTTCCACTGGGAAACATGTGGGCCTAGAAAAATCAAAAAAGACCATAGTAGATCAGTATGATAAGCTTCCCTAATATATAATGAGATGTTAAGCATAGGCCTGGTTTCCTGATCTTAACATATGGTAAGCAGGCCTATGATATCAGCGAAACCATAGTCACTTCGGTGCAGCTCTAGGCCTCTGAATTGCCATCCACGCCTCTGCCATTCCTGAACCGCTTCGAGAAATTCTACGTCGGGCCGGCGGAGTGGGCACTGCACCAAGCGCACGAACTCTGCCTGGGAAACATCAATCACCAGCTGCTGGATGAATACCTACTGGAGCCCGCGCGGGGGCGCCTCGAGGTGGATGGGTGAGTTGATTGGGTGAAAATTGAGGTGGATTGATGTGGCTATGGGTCAAAACCTATTATTATAAATTCGAATGGGATGAACATCCATTTACCAGCTATTTTGATGTGAACTACAGGGGTACCAGGCTTTTGACCCATCCCCATGTCAGATTTTTCTCGGGCTAGGCAGCCGGTAGGCATTGATCGTTTGGAGTATCGGCTAGTATTCCGCAGGAGATCAGGCATAGACTTTGAAGGGTTTTCAGATCGCGTGGTGTGGGTGTTGGATGACTATTGAGTGATAGATAATACTTGTAGGCGGTGAAGCTGAAATATCAGAAAGAAAACACCATTTCCATCACCACTTTCTAGCACTTCAGGAGCCCATCTTGGTACATCTTCATTTTTGCCTAGGTGCTTGGCACCCCACTAGAAGACCCGACAGAAAGCGGAACTAGTCGCAAGTATTGATGAATCACAAATGCAACATATGCGCATTTTGATGTTGACCACAGACATCACAGATTACTGCAAATAATCGTGATTCCGGACTGTATATGCATATGCATATGTATATGTATACGTATATGTATATAATGTAATATAATATGATATACTATAATATAATATAATATGATCTAATATAATAGCAATTATATATAAAATATATACATCTAGGTGTTGTCCATGTTGTGTTGTGATATCCTCGAATAGCAACCAAATCCAACTCAGTCGCTGTTCCTAAGTTTTACCAGCCTTGGTGGCTTGGTTTTTGGTCTGGGGCACTTAGACATACGAGTATGACAGGCTGGACTGTTCTTTGCAGAAGACATTACCATCTCATACATTTGCAGAAGTTAGAATGTACAGATTTAGTAAAGTTTTTGGTAATGATTCTTTAGAGCAGACTTGATAACCAACAAAAAACTCTGGATAGCTAGACTGGATCCAATAAATCTGGATAGCTAGACTGGATCCACTAATCCAATATTTATTGGTTATAGCCTACTTTGCAATTTCAACCAATAAATTCCTGGAGGCTTTGGTGCAGCTCATCGGGGACGCCAGCCTCATTGGCTACAGCGCCTTGGACTCCAAAAAGAAATCCCAACTGGCCGGATTTGTTCATGGTGCTTGTAGATTTCTGAGAATTCTTACCTCAAAATCTTCCAGCTTTCGAAAGTCTCTCGTAGCTATTTTTGGGTTAGTATACCGCCCTACCAAAAAATCTTTCTGAGCAAATCAGGTTGACCTCTGGCGGACCAAAACCCAGAAAAATCGCGCCAACAAGGGCCAGCTCAGGTTTGTGATTTATGGTTATTTGACCAGAAAACCATAAAGGTAAAATGACCATAAATCACACACCTGAGCTAGCCAAACAAATCCTTGACTAATCTGTGGTTATTTGTGATTTATGATTATTTGACCAGATGTTGTTGTGGATTCTTCGCAAACTGCTATACCTAAAGTACCTAAAGGCCTTCTGCAGATAGGGACATGAACCAGCAAACATGGGGAGATGCACCCACAGAAATGGAGCTTTTGACATGATTTAAGCACAACCCATCGCTGTGTCCAATCCGGCAATGGAAAAATCCGCTCAAGGATAGGCGGATTTTCCAGCCATGTTTGATCACAGAGGGTAGCTTCTTAGATGATCCCTGACGCTGAGATTGATGCTTACATTCCTAAATACCCACCATAAACCTCAACTTTAATTGGATCCTCCTAGTAAACAAGCACCAAATTCGAAAATTGGCAATGGATTACGACTTTGTTACGTATCGCTCATGCTCAAGCCGGTCACTTGAGTTTCATTCCAGCGTAGTCCACTTGGATCCTCATATTACAATTTTTGTCAATCATCCGGTCCATTTTTGGGGCCTTTCTAAAAAAATCAGTCATGGCAACACATTTCCCAGTTTTGATAGGAACATCGTCTACAAATGGAATTTGTCGCCAGGTTACTTCATTCCCAGAAGGTCAACACCATCGCAATCATTATGGTTGATTAAAATTGTCGAGGAAATTTCCCTTTCTTCTTACTTGTGCTTAGTAGGGAATGAGGGAAGGATCCACTGGCTAACTATCAAGCAGATCATCCCAGCAACCCCCAGCAACCCAACCATTCCCGAGGTAAAACGCACCAGTAGGTCTTGTTGGTCATATTCCAATTGGTTTTAGCAACCCGATGTTCCATCAATATTCATTGATTGCAGTGCCCATTCACCACATTATCCCACTTCTTATTCACAATTTCCCTGCATTGTCCATTGAACTTTGACCATGCTTGACCATGTCAACCCATTGAGTATCCTCTGGTAATTTGTTACATAGCTATTGAAAATGGCCCAGTCGAAATAGTGGATTTTCCCATGAAAAATGGTGCTTTTCCATAGTTTTTTGTAAACGTTTACCAGGCCGGGTATCCATCAATTGTCGTCCTTGTCCATTCATCCCAACCTATCCTCATTCTTCGTCATATTTTCCATGACAAACTGGACATGTCCCATAGCTGCAGTGCCTAGAATTTACCCGGCCTGGTAAACGTTAACAAAAAACTATGGAAAGATCCACCATTTTTAATGGGAAAACTCACTATTTCGACTGGGCCATTTTCAATAGCTATGTAACAAATTACCAGAGGGTATGTGGATAGTCCCAAAGAGCATTGATTGACATTGACATGAACCATCAATGACCATCCGTTACCCATCAAATGATATGGATTTAAATCTATTCAACAAAATCGAACTATGACTCATGACCGTAGCATATAAATCCCATTATCGAGGTATATACCACAAACATCCATAAACCATATGTGTATATATATATATAAACTATATAATTATGTATATATATAACACCTATTAGTTATAAACCAACATAGCTATCATATAGCTATCATATAGCTATCATAAATCAACTATCAGTTCCCATTCTTGTTGGTTAAATCCCTCATTTTTGGTGGATAAACATCCTTCAGGTGGCGTTGCCACCTTGGACTCGTCCCTCTGCGATGCTCTGCGCGAAGCTTCGCTGCGCGCTGCGCTGGAAGCGCTGAGCGCTGCGTGGCGCGAGGAGCGCGTGGCCGCTGTGCAGGCGGTGCATGACCGTGGGCCGTGCACGGCGCCACGCTGGCCGGAGGATGTAGATGGAAGGACCTGGAGTGGAAAGTTATGTTTGTTGGTTTATAAACCCATGAACTAGTTCGATATATCTACCATAAGTCCCATTTTTTTTCGTGATGTTTACCAACTTAGCTATCGGTTACGGGGGCACCACCTTATAGTGAGTTGAGCAAGATCATTGCGGGATGGATAGGATGATTGGAGGACTTTTAGGAACCCCAAATGATGTTTTGATGGGAGCCCAAATCATCGCTTCCCATAAACTTCCCGTACGTTTGACCACCAACTCTGCTTTGGAAAACGTGAAACGAGCAAACTTGCAAGGAAGGAAATATGAAGATTGTGGTCAAAAACAGTTTTTTTTTGGGGTTCCAGGTGAGATTTCTTTTGAGTGTGGAAACACAATAGTCAAATCAGCAAAAAAACCATCCGATAGATCCGATAGGTGTCACCTCTGGCAATTCCTGCGGTATTTGTCCAGCGATCTGGGAAACTTGCGGCAAGGCCAAAACATGGTTCCATGCCAACTGGCCAAAGATGTTTGTAAAAGAATCACTTGACTTTGCACCCTGAAGGATGCAAACTCTGGGGGGAGAAACCATTGCGGGAGACTTGATGACTTGCTATGGGCATGAAAATGCTGGCAACACCTGTTTTCTACAGGCATGTTTGACCCTCCTTGCAGTGAACGAGCGCTTTCTACTGCCTCCGCAAAGAGCAAACGAAATGGGCATTTTGAGCGATTTGCGTCATATCCTGAAGAAATCCAGGCAGGAAGTGGTAGGCCAAGTGGACATGCGATGCTTGACGCAAAAGTTGGAACAGGCCCAGATCGTTGAGCGAGCGCATCAAATGGATGATGCTGCCATCGTTTTTGAAGGGCTGCTTGACTGTTGTCAAAGCCCGAAATTGCCCTTGCACACTTTTACTTGTGCAAGTCCTGAAGATTGTCGAACATTTGGGTATCCCAGTGGCACAGTGGCTCGGGTTCAAGAGCAAAACGACTATGTGATCCGCACCACTCCTAGAGCGCGGGCCAACCTGCAACTGGTCGGTTTCATTCACATGTTCTATTTTCCATCCCTGAGAATTGGATGATACCCTCTGGTAATTTAACATAGCTATTGAAAATGGCCATTTGTAGTTGATTTTCCCATTAAAAATGGTGCTTTTCCATAGCTATGTTAGTTTACCAGAGGGTAATCTCCAGTTGACTTTCATATCGGGAATGGGTGGCTGAACAGCCGACCTGGTAAGGCAAACTTTGTTGCAAGAGCGCATGCTGGCACCGGTGGCAGACTGCAAGACTGAGACAGAGGCAGGAGAAGAACATCTCTTGCGCTCTGCCATTCGTGCCAAGCAGAGGCCATGGGGGTTGGTAAAAATGTCAACCCTGGATTAATAAACCCCTAGGCCCTAGGCTGTTTAATTGGGAGGGTACCATTTAAGTATTAGATTATGACTATTGGAGGAGTACCCCCCTAATTTTCATAAACCATGGTTTATTAATCCGGGGTTAACTGGTTTATGGCAACCTCCAAAAAGATTTGACCGTTGGACAGCCGGAACTTGTGGGAGACATCACGCTTTGCTTTTTTTTTTGGCCACCAAAAATTGTGATTTTAAACACCAGTGTGAAGAGTGATGATCGAGTCCCAACTTTAATCAACTTTAGATGGTCAGATTATCTAAATGTCCCTCTTCGCTTCTACAAGACACTAGTCAGCATCACAAAGGCTTATCATGGCTTATGTAAATTTCCTCCCCTTCTGCTCCTACAAGACAATTGGTTGGAATTGGTTCTACCTCGTTCCTTGGAACCCCGCGCTTGTAGAATTAGTTGTAACTAGTTCTAACTATTGCCTACTACCCCCAGGTCGCAATTGGTTGCCACTAGGTAGGCGCCCGCCAGGGGCAATGAGTTGCTTGTACCTAATTCCCGGGCACCTGAGGGTTGGAGAACTCTCTTGGATGCTGGTAAACTCAACTCAGCAGCTCAGCATTTTTGACATCGGCAAACTGAACTTGGGGGCACAGTTCCAGTTGCAAGTGGTTCTACAACCGTAGTATCCATAGTATCCATAGTATCCATAGTATCCATATGTGGGCCCCATCTCCCAACATCTCCCAACAAAGATGGGGGTTATTGCCATCCCATGCTTAGCTATACTCATTGGTCAATCCCGGTCCTGCCGGTCTTGAGATGCCAGGCCTCTGAACAGCTGCCCTCCAATGGCTTTGCCGATTTGCGTGGAGCGATGGCATGCCGGAACGATGGAAAAGAACAACGACCATTTGTCTCATGGTCAAACTGCCGCAGTTTCTGTAGGTTGAAAGTCAGTTGTGGTGGATGGATAGTGGTACTGCCTGTAAATGTGAAGTGAATGCTTGGTGAACGAAATCCTTCCTTTACAGGTGGACTGACAATACCCACGGACAGCATCCACATACTCTACAGATGTGTGTGACTGGCTGGCAGATAGGACAAATCTGATGCAGTCAAGGTAGACCATCTGGTACTGTAATCCCACCAGACAATGAAGCTCCATGATTTTTAGGTGGTTTATGTGGTATTCTGGTAATTTCCCTATTGAAAATCTTGACATTCCCTAAAAAGTGGGACCCCCCTAGATAGCTAAGTTGGTTTATAACTAGGTTAACTAGGGTTTATGGCAGATATCTTTTTAGTATTTTTTAGTTATATATATATGGGGTTCCAGACCAACTTATCACTGGGGACACCACAGAACATATATAGCCACCTTTGTTTCCTGGTAGCAGCTCGTTTGACCAGGTCAGTACCACTGGAAGGATTGAGGTTGCCTTTGCTGCCACCAACACACCGCACACTGCAGAGTCTAGACAGAGGTTAGAGCGAACGATTTTGGTTTGAGCAAAAATCAGGGATACTGGTACCCCTGAATGGTCATAACATGGGGGAAGATGACGATCAACAACGCATTTTTTTTGGCACCTATTTTCAGACAAACCTGGTTCATTGTTTGGTGGTTTCATCCCTGTCCGCCGATGGTGAATGTTTGTTTATGTCTTTCTTTCTATTTTTATTCATTTAAATAAGTTCATTTCCTTTTTTTTTTTTTTTTTCGGAATGCACAATATATAGTGATAGTTTCCTTGCTGTTTTTTTGGACTTCGCCTCCAACACAAAATGCCCGTTGTGCATTGGACACGGATGATTGGGGCATGGGCGCCTGAAGGGGAGACGTCAGGTCTCAAAACTGATCAGATCAATAACTGATCAATAAGTGGGGCCCCCGTTGGATAGCATTCAGTTGGTTAATAAGTCCAATAACTATGGTTTATGGTAGATATATAACAAACTAGTTGCCATGGTGGTTTTGTTATGGTTTATAAACCAACAAACATAACTGGGGGGCACCACATTGTAGGTAGACATGTCATAAATCCCCAAAATAATCCCAACATTGGATGTACATGGTCTCAAATCCTGCAATGGCAAGGATTCATCATCGATAAAAATGGGTCGGTCACCTTCGGCAGGGGTGATGATCTCACCAAATTTTTCCCATTATAAATTAGATCCCCATTAAATTGCCATGATTCTTGAGTTCATAGCCCATTTTTGCTGCTTAAAACCACCATTTATACTACAGTATTTGTACTTGGGGGTGCAGTTGGGGTTTACACATGGTTATATGCTTTTAAAGCCAGATAAGTTGGGATATGAGGCCCCTACAACTATGACTATATGGAGGTTTCCTGTACCTCTGTAAATCATCTATTTTAGATTGGGATTTTCCATGAAATAAACCATCCAGCTATTGGGGTACCCCCCATTTATGGAAACAGTGGAAACCCCCCCATTTTTCTACTTCATTCCACTTACAACTGGAACTTCACTGCCGGTTGTTGAGTCGGTTGTGTCGGTATCCCCCGGATGCTTCACTGCCCAGGATCTCTGAGTTGGAGTTTTGGCGCTACAACCTCTGTTCCTTTGTGCTCCATGTAGGCGCCGTCGACCGCTGGTGCGGACTCGTTGTCGACTCATCTACTTTCAATATTAGGCTTTGACTCAAAATTCTGGCAAGCCAATTTTGATGGTATCATCATTTTCCCCTGTGAAAAAGCTATTTTTGGATGTTTTTGGGGTATCCTCTAGCTTTTCTCAGACACAGCCAGAAAACGCATGCGTAGTGATTCCTCGAACATAACAGATGGAAAACAGTAAAAGATCAGTAAACTCGTAGGGCAGTAGTAAAATGATGTCAGCATCTGATTTTTGTTGGACATATGTGACATATGTCAATGTTAAGACCAGAGAAACCACCCAGCATCTTTTGTCCGAAATGGAACTTCTTTTTTTTAAGGATCAAGTCCCTGCTTCGACACATCCCAGCAGCACAGAATGCCATGTCAATGCCATGTTCAATAATCCACTACTTGGTGGTTCACCCCGACTTAGTAAGTAGGTTATACCCCGGGTTCTAACTGGGCTAAGTAGGGTTAGTTCACTTATAACTGGGGTTATAATCCACTTACTAACTGGGATGAACCACCAAGTAGTGAGCAGTTCCGGTTTGAATGCAAACTTGCGTGAACATTTGCTCTAGACTGCAGCTAGATTCCCTCTCTTCTGTGAGATTCTGTGAGCAAGAACCTTGACCAACAGTAGCCAGAAGAAATCCATCGATCGTGCAGGTCTAGATCAACGTTTTGGAGCCCCAAATGCACCCACCAAGGTCATTTGTTGTATCCGTTTCACAAGCAATACTGGACTCCTATTTGCTTTACAGAGAGTCATATCCATGTATGTATATCTCGAACTGGGGTAAAATACAAGTACGTCTTTAATATCGTTACAAGTGCCATGGGCCATGTGTTTTGGGGCCATTCCCGCAAGGTGGTGCCTGGAAGTTACAAATTGGTTTATTAAAAAAAGCAATTAACTATATATAGTTATAATAAACCTTACTGGACTTATAATTGTTAGCTATGATTTATAATTACCATAAACCTCATTGGACTTTTTTTCTCCACCTGAACGCTATCCTTTGGCGTTCATGAACCAAGTGGACCATTTTGGCACAAGAAATCGGAGGCCAAGAGCTGCACAGCGGCCATTACATCGCGTACTGGAAATCTTCCAGGGGCTGGCATGAAGTTCTTCAGCTGCACGTGCGGATGGGCCGATATATTCCGATAACATTAATAGACACATGGTATATGTATATATATAATGTATGCATAGATAGATTGAACGAGATTGAATTAGATTCCATTTGATATATATATATATATATCATATTCGACATTTTATCCAGGGCACCTTTTGGTCGTCAAGCATAGCAACTAAGGGATTTAGCTTTTGAGAGGTGAATCATCTACACATGGTGATTTGGTTGTTGCCATGTTTTCATTTCTAATGGTGTGATGTAGAAATCTCTATGGTTTCCAAAGGTATATCACGCTGTTGGAAATAATAGGTCCAATGTATAATCATACATCTCCAATTAATTGCATGTTCTTTATTTCCCAAAGGCCCACTACCCACAGCATTCTGCTTGTGTGAGAACATCCAAGAACCTGTGTATGGACATCCCAAAAGACATCATAGAAGGTGCTGCCCCCTAGTTAGCTAAGTTGGTTTATAAACCCACCCAGCTATACTCTGAATCATCTCAAAGCCTAGTCAACCTACAAATTCTTATGTTAGTATAGTTATACTATAGCTAGAATTATGGTCTTATAGTCGTTAACCTATAGTTGATACTAAGTTTATACAATATACTATTAATTATAGTTTTTAACCAGCTTAGTTGGAAGTATATAACCAACTTAGCTAATATACTATTGATTATAGTTAACCTATAATTTACCTAAGTTTATAACCTATCTTAAACCAACTTAGCTAACTATAGGACACCAGCGAACGTAGGGGCAAGGTTTGTGCCCACGGGATGGTCAAAAATGACCCACGAAAAATGGCCCACTGGATCATTGCTGAAGTCAAGACTTTGCTGGAAAAACATGGTGTGATTTGCCAAGTTGCTGGTAGCTTTTGAATTCTAACAATACCTATCCATACCTCAACTTTCTTCTAACCATTCAGCAACCATTCAGTGACCATTCAGTAACAGCATTGAAGTGAAGCCATCCCTGAATGTGGATGGCCTTTGATAAGGTGAATGATGATCGCTGTTCAGACATCAGTGAGCAGGAAGCGCAACGCAGAGCTGGCAGTGCCTATTTCTTGATCTACCAGCTAGCTGGCTACCAAGGGATGTTCTCCTGGGAGTCCTTGAATGAGCAAGCTGTGGGGAGCTACTTGGATCACTGAGTCTTCTGAGTTTCCAGTTGTTGAAATGTTGAAATGCGGTTGAAACCCTGGTGGACTCTGGTTAGAGGTTGAAACATGCGCCAGTGACAACTTGGAGGTATTGCCACCAGCTTATGAGTTTTTAGCGACCTTATTTCACCATGATTTAGCAGTTCGATTAATTTCGGGATGGCTTAACACCTATCAAATACCCTCTGGTAATGACCAACATAGCGAACTGGAAAATCACCATGCTATTAATGGGAAAATCCACTATTTCTATGGCCATGTTCAATAGCTATTTTGACATAACCAGATGATATCATATTTGGGGGAGATGAGCATCCATTTCACCACCATTCATCCATGCAGTGAACAAACCAGCTGTGACCTGGTCAAAGAAGTGTAGGTTTGCTCTGATGAGAATCAAACAGAAACAGGGAAATTACATGAACTTACTTTATTTTCCATTTTACAGTTGTTGCAGAACCATCAAATGTAAGATCATATGATATTCAGAGTTTTAAGATGAACAGACACATGGGGTCCCTTATCTATCATCGTTTTCATTTCACTGCTTATAACAAGGTCAGTAGCGTTGCCTGCAAAGTCCCTTTGAGGGTCCCTGATCGTGGTAAAAAAACATGATTTCATCATCCAATGGGGAGATGTCGTCAATATGAAACATACAACCCATGTTTTGGGATTTGGGATCACATGTGGTATTCCTATACAAAGCACACACACATATACATATATGTATAATGTGTATATATATATATTATATAATAAATCAATATAATATATATATATATATAATATTTATATAAGATATATATATATATGTACATATTTATATAATATTATATAAATTCACACGTGCATACGGCTTTTCATATGTGCCATGGTGAAGAGTTGGATTATATGCCAATATTGGGGGATGTTCATCAATCCATCAAGTTCGGGATTTATATAATTTATATACCACTTATGTTTGGATTCCCAATATATGGGACCAACTTTTGTTGGTTAAATCTACGATTACAAGGTGGTGCCCCCAGAGGTATAATTTGGTTTAGAAACCATAGTCACTGGTTCGATATATCTACCATAAACCCAAACGAATTCACCAAGTGATGTGCGTCAACATCTCGCGATTCCGAACTGGGACACCACTTTGTATAAGAGACAATAGCAATTAGTGATATGTTTAGGTCAAACCATGTGTGAAAGGAACTAATAACAGATTACTCCAGTTGGATAATGGTTTTGAAGGGTTCTTTCATTCAACACATTCAACAACCAAGAGGAGGTTATAACTCCACTTTCACCAGGGTTTATGGTAGATATATCTAAGTAGTTGCGAGTTGGTTTATTAACCAACATTCACATCACCGGGGGGGGGCACCACCTTGCAATGCTGGATACAACCAATAAATATGGGTCCCATAACGGGAATCTCCATATCAAAATATCTTAAACCATATTAGATTATATTTATGGTTGATCCAATTTTCCCTAGTTCATTTCTGTATTTCCTAGTTCACCATAAAAATCACAGGACATTTTTCTTGCATATAGTCACCCAGGACAGCTGTTGGACCAGCGCCTGAAAGACGTCATCGCCCGCCTCAGCGAAGCGGCCGCGCAGCGGCTGCTGCGCTTGGCGCCGTCCGAGGTGCTGCTGAGTCGGCAAGCAGCGCTGCCGCAGAGCTTGCTGCAGGGTGCCCTGGCGGTTTGATGCGCCCATGATGACAGCTGTGTTTAAGATGGTTTTATCAGCTGTCATGTAGGATATAAAACCATCTTAAAATCAATCCATATGGGAATTTCAGGATCCTAAAATGGAGCTACGTTAGTAGCATATAAGACCATATGGCTATGGATCAATACCTACAAGTAGCATTTTTCGGGGGATGAACATCCATGAATCCCAGCTATTTTGATGTGAACTACAGGGGTACAAGGTTTTGACCCATCCCCATATGGTTTAATGTCAACCCCGGATGAATAAACCATAGTTGATTAATTGGGGTACTCCTCCAATAGTCATTATCTGATACTTAAATGGTATTCCACCAATTAAACAACCTAGGGGTTTATTAATCCAGGGTTGACATTAATAGGGATAATATATGGTTTTAAAGATACCATTATTGATTGGTTGGGGATTATACTACCTGGTTTAATGGGGATTCTGATAAGCCATAGGATTGGGAAACCACTTATATCCATCGATGGTTTTTAACATGATGGTTTAATTAATGGTAGTTTAATGGGCGCTTTATATGGTTTAAGAGGGATCATATTGGGCCCCAAGGTGGAATCAGACGTGGCAATGGTTTAGTACAAGATGGGGCCCCCAAGATAGCTAAGTTGGTTTATAAGTGGTTTAACTATGGTTTATGGTAGATATAACTATAGTTAATGGGGATTATCATGGTTTATAAACCAACTTATAACTGGGGGGCCCCATCCTGTATGGTTTCATATGATTTTTTAATGGTCTAATAGGGATAATATTCGGGACAATAATGGGATAATATTCGGGATATTTATGGACTTACCCGCCGGTATCATATGTATCATCAAACATGGCACGTACCCAGTTCATTTGAGTCGCCGGGTTTACTGATGCTTTCTTTTCTCAACAATAAGAACACCTAGATGTAACATATTAAGACCCAGGAAACAGTAAGCCTGATGAGTTGACTCTTATTACCCATTGAAAACCCTTTATAACCCCATTAATCACTATTAAACCTTTATTAACCATCATTAATAGTGATTAATCACTAAACTATTATCATTATTAAACTATTATCATTGTTTAACTATTAAACCTTCATTAAACATTTATTAATCATCACTATTAAACTATTATCATTAACCCATTGTCATTGTTGGTTGCTTTTCCCTTAAAGCCATCCATTTCAAGGGAACCCGCGATGGCCACGTTCGAGGCTATGCTGAGCGCCCACACACGGGCCTCGGCTCAGTGCTGGCGGCCCTTCGACGCGATCCTTCCACGCGGCTTTTGGTGCTGACACGAGATGTCATGTTCCTGGATGGACAATTGGATAACACGCTTTAATATGGTTTTACATGTATATATATAGCTATATATGTATATATATTATTATATATTATATTATATATATTATATTATATATATATTATATATATATTATATTATATATATATATATTGTAGAGCTTCGCACACCGGCGATACCATAAGGATTATGTATAGTAGTGTGAGCGTTGGTGTTGTTCATATGCTCTGCGCGTGCGCGCAGGTGCAGAGCACAGTGTGATGTTCTTGTCATACCGCAGCTTGTAACCATCTTACCACATCTTTTTGTCGCATTTTTGTGCTTGTTCTTCTTCCTCTTCTTGTTGTTGTTGTTGTTCTTCTTGTTGTTGGTGTTGGTGTTGGTGTTGTTATTATTGTTATTATTGTTATTATTGCTATTGTTGTTATTATTGCTATTATTGTTATTATTGTTATTATTGTTGTTGTTATTGTTCTTGTTCTTCTTCTTCTTCTTCTTGTTCTTGTTCTTGTTGTTGTTGTTGTTGTTGTTGTTGTTGTTGTTTTTGCAACGCAACTAATCTTCCGCATTTTTGTGCACCCCTAAAAAATCGTCAAATAGGTCGTGTTTTCGCATTTTTTGACACTCTCAAAGCAAAAAACACGGCAAATACCGATGTTTTTTGCGCCTCGGAAGCCCAAAGCCACGGTATTTACGACGTTTTTTTTTTGGCCTCTGGTAGCAAAAATCATGGTATTTAGAATGTTTTTGTGCCCGTGCCTAGCAAAAACACTGATATTTCCGCAGTTTTCTCCACGAAAAGGGAAAACACTGTATTTTACGGTGTTTTTGCTTCCCGAGCGCAGCAAAAAATCGTCAAACAATTGTTCAAAACGGCCCAAAATCGAGCATCTTATAATTTTGGCCTCTTTCTTCCCGGCCCCGGACCCCCAAAAACGTGAAAACACCAGCAGAGTGAAGGATTTTGGAAGGGTTCGGCGGGAGAGGTGCGCCCCGGGTACACCACACACGGCGGCATCGCCGGATTTAAGGGCTGCCCCTGCTGCCGACCCCCGGGCCAGGAAGATGCCAAACGTCATCTAAAAAACGCATTAAATTAAGATATTGAGGGAACCTTCACTAGAAGGCCCTCAGATGGGCTTGGACAGCCTTGCTGCGCATTAAGAACTTGAGGGAACCCTCGCTAACTAGCAGGCCCCCAGATGGGCTTGGATGGGCCCCCCCCAGATGGGCTTGGACGCGAACCCTGCGAAATAAAGAAGATGCCAAACATCACCTAAGGAACGCATTAAGAAACTGAGGGAATCTCATTAAGAAACTGAGGGAATCTCACTAGAAGGCCCCCAGATGGGCTTCGACAGGCTTGGTGCAGCCCTCCGAACCTTGCGAAACAGGGAAGATGCCAAAAGTCACCTAAGGACAGCCTTGGTGCAGCCCTCCAAACCCTGCGAAACAAGGGAAGATGCCAAACGCCACCTAAGGAACGCATTGAGATACTGAGGGAACCTTCAATAGAAGGGCCTCAGATGGGCTTGGACTAAGAAGTTGTAAAAACACTGCCAAACTATCCTTTGGAAGCGCTGCGAAACAGGGAAGATGAATGGCGATTGTATGGTCATGTGTGGTTCAAGCTTCTCTGGCGCGCTCCCATTTGGAGGGGTCGGCGGATACAAATGGTTTAATAGGGATAGTGGGATAATCATGGAATATTAATGGCCTTTACATGGCTTTACTGTCCGTTGCCACGTTTGATTGCCGGAGGGTATAGCGCTGCAGACTGCAGACTTCAATTTTTGGTGACGTTCTAGTGCTTTTGGGGTTTCACTGTTTTGGGGGCTAGAAAACTTTGGGATATTATGTAGTACTATAATACTATTGTAGGGATGTGTTGGGATATGGGCTTGTCTGAAATTGCATATACCACAGCAGAATGGCAATTTTATCGCCAATTTGCGCGGAAAATAACCATTACCCATGGGATTTTGGGGGTACCTGATTTTCCGACAAACCTGCATGGATAAAAGTGTGCACAAGTGCCCTTGGGGTTAGATGGACCACATAACCCACAGGGGATCAACAAGACAGCAAGGTTGGCATCTGGACTATGCCCCAGTGAGCACTTGAAGAGGAGGGATGTGGAGATCCAACCCATGCCCCGAACCCGGGAGGAATGTGTGGCGCTGTTGCAAGGCAGAAAGAACAAGGAGAGGCTTAACGGTCGGTCTTGAGAAGACGCGACATGAAGGGTGGTTTGGTTCTTGCGAAACTTGTTTTAGTAGGTCTTTGGCCACGAGCAGACAAACACTGAGGAATCCGATTGGATAGCAATGCTAATAGCATGTGTACATATATATATATATATATAATTCAGAATATCATACATATATATATATATATTTATGTAGATACATACATGTACCCACATTTTGATTTGCCTGGGCAACATTCGCTTGATTTATGATTGCGAATTCATTTCGGTCTCTTGTTCCCTTCATTGATCGTGGCAATTGAAACCGACCCAAGAAGGGCTACAAAAGGTCCCATGATACTTTAATGGGTTTTCCAAAAATGCCCTATCCTTAAATTGGCGGGGTATCCTTGTATTTCAAAAACTGGAGAATCTCTAAATTTCTGAAAATCTGGTATCCCTGAATCATTTTCCAATAAGACCTTGCCATTTTGTGGCCCAACAGAAATTGGGGCCAAACCTCTTGGACTTTGATTCCTGGCAGGAGCCATTGATGATCGTGTGCCGTTTGGCCCATGGGCAATGCTCGGATACCTCATGCACCAGTCAAGCCATTCACCAATTGAGACGCCTGGCAGATGAAAATGACGTGCACAACTTGGTGGTGACGATCTTGCTTCCACCTTGGCGATTTCATGTGGGGAAGTGTTATGAATCCGCGCTGCTTGGCAATTGGCAGATTCTTCATTTGGATTCTTGGTGCTGGTTTCAGAGGTTTTATTGAAAAAACGAAGGCTTTTCTCATCCCTTTCCAGGGTTGACCAACTGGTGAATTAAAAGTCATGTTTGATGTTCAACTTGATTGACGGTGAAATAGACTATATATTATTATATTATTATATAATTTGATTGATGATGGGAGATTTAGTTTTTCAATTTTGATTTACATCAATAAGAACTCTTAGATTCCCATCAATCCATATCAATCCATCACTCAAATTGGTTTCTGGTGGCCAGCGTCACTTAAAACTGGTGGGTTCTTTCCCCAGTGTCACAAAACCAGGACTCCTTGGAGGATGCAGAAGCGCCGTCTCTGGTGTCTTCCATCTTGATGAACACAAAGCCATCAACAGAGCCTTTAGGTTGTCAGGAGGATTGCAGTTTTGGTGAGTGATTTGCCGAAAAACGATAGAACCTCATGGAAAATGATTGAACATGATGGAAATATTATGGACTCATTGGGCAATGATATTTTTTGTCTGTAATTGCGTGAATTTCTCCAAATTTGATGGTTGATCATCATTTTCTTCCTGAAATTGTCACTTTGGATGTAATTAGCGCATGTTTGGACAAGCCAATGTCTTGTGCTCGAAGTATGTTGAACTTGGCATTGGGTAAAACCACCTCCTCTCAGTTGCTTGCCCCTGCAAGGAGGTTTACAAACACCTTTGGGCAGCTGTGGCTCGCCTTCCAAGCAGCGAAGCCATGCAAGTCTATGCGGAAGGATGGGAAGAAGTGGAGCAATGCATGGCGCATGCTGTGAGTTTTTATACTCAACCTGCGTTGCAGAAACACGGCGGCATTCTGATGTCAACAGTGTTGGACTCTTCTGTTCACACCTGTAAAATTCGAAGGACAGGCAAATAGATAGAGCCATGTGCAATTTATTTCCATGTGCGTTAATACCCAGGCGCTGTATGTCATTCTTTCGGTGCTTGGGAGGAATCATATGACCCAGTCACTCACATTGGTTTGGTTTTTTTCGGGGAACATCTACAGGAAACCATGCAATTTCCTCTCAAATCACGTCCTGTGGTTTCAGATTTTCGCTTCAACCAATTCTGAGAGGTGATCATCCGGCGATAGTCCCTTAAAAATGATGACAATAAGCCAATCAAACCAGTGATGTTCGAGTGATAATCCAATCCAGTGATAGTTCTGCGAGAGATTCCAGTTAATGTCAACCCCGGATGAAGAAACCATGGTTTATTAATTATGAGGGGTAGCCTCCAAATAGCGATAATATGACACTTAATTGGTACCCAATGAAACATCCTAGGGGTTTATTAATCCAGGGTTGTCATTATATCAATGGCCATTCCAGGAACCTAAATTGGAGGTACCGATTCCATATATAAGGCCTATTTTTTAGGCCATTCCATTTCAGGGAATATCCCCCCAACATATGGCCAAAAATATGGTACTAACGTACCTCCATTTTAGGATCCTGAAATACCATTGATTATAAGAGGTGATAACCCATTGCTGCTAGCCATTGAGCCATTGAGCATCGAAGTCTCGGCAATCTTCGGCATGGACTTAGGACCCGTGTCGACGCTTTATGGAAGCTGCTGACGAGTCACAAATTGTCCCTGCTCTTGGACGGACTTCAACGACTTCCAGCAGCGGTGTTGCAGGCTTTTGGGCCGCGCCTTGCGGGCCGAAAAGATTAGAAAGTCATTGATTTGAAATGTATTTGACTTTTCTATAGAAAATCCTAGAAGTAAAATCAGAAATGTCTAGAAAGTCATTGACTTCTAGGATTTTATACTTTTCTATACATTTCTGATTGTTTGGGGGCTACGGCTACTGAGGGGTACCCTTTGTGCACCATGCCGTGCCAGGACGTTTCCTTGCAACGCGAGGCAGTAGCTGCCGCCAAGGAAATGATGGGCATGGACCGTGGCCAGAGGTGCGAAAATTTCTAGGGTGATCGTTCTGGCAAGTTCTGAAAGGGCACATCAAGGGATTTATAATTATAAATATGTGCACATATTAGAATGATTATTCTAATTCATGTAGAATTATTCTAATATGTTATAAATATGTAGGATCATATTAGAAATTACCAGTTTATCTGATCATGTAGGCAATTTATTATTAGGTGATAGTGATAATTTATAATTATTCTAATATGATCCCAATATGATCCCAATATTATCCCAATATTATTCCAATATTATCCCAACATTATCCCAATATTATCCCAATATTTATCCCAATATTTATCCCAATATTTATCCCAATATTATCCCAACATTATCCCAATATTATCCCAATATTATTCCAATATTATCCCAATATTTATCCCAATATTATCCCAATATTATCCCAATACTATCCCAATATTTATCCCAATATTTATCCCAATATTTATCCCAATATTATCCCAATATTATCCCAATATTATCCCAATATTATCCAAATATTTATCCCAATATTTATCCCAATATTTATCCCAATATTATCCCAATATTATCCCAATATTATCCCAATATTATCCCAATATTATCCCAATATTATCCCAATATTTATCCCAATATTTATCCCAATATTATCCCAATATTATCCCAATATTATCCCAATATTATCCCAATATTATCCCAATATTCTACATTGCCAGAACGATATAATGATTATAATGATCATATTGGGATTCCTGATTATTCTAATATGATCCTACATGATGAGAAAATATTATCCCAATATTATCACATAAAGGGATTTATAATTATTCTAATATGATCCTACATGATCCCAATATGATCCCAATATCCCAATATTATCCCCAAGTACTATAGTGAAATGATCATAATGTAATGCTAATGATAATAGTTTATAAATAACATATATATATGTATCCTTTCATTATCACCAACTACTAGAATGGGATTGATATATTCTCCGACCTCACTTGTGAAATCTTTCACAAATGATTTTCTTGGGTTCCACTTGTGAAAGATTGAAATATAATGACAGTCAAAGTCTGCGAATTTGTGGCTAAATGAGGCTTTATCTAAAAAAACATCATCCTGTTTCTTTCATAAAGTATTTGTGAATTCACAATGAGAAACCGTGAATAATACGGTTTATTTCTGGTTTGTGAGTTCTTGCATGTTGCTGTAAGATTGTTGGCATTGGTGGGTCAGATCCATCATCTCATAACATTTGTTTGTTGGGTCCATTGTTGGCACCGCGGTTTATGCGTATCCGAGTTGCCACGAAGGCTACCGGCGACCATCCAGTAATCAAACATGGCTGGCTGGAAATCCGCTAGAAACGGTGGTTTCTAGCCGGGAAAATCATGAACATCAAGTGGGAGATGTTCCATGGCCATGTTTGATTACCAGAGAGTTTTGGAAGCAGTTTGCCCTATCATGTCATACCAACCTTAAAGCATTGAACACATTGCTACAGGAAGCATTCTTATCACCTTTTATGCAAAAAAAATTGAAGGAACCAAGAAAGATTCGTTTTTTTACTGCATCTGCATATCCCACCATTTACTCTGATCATAGCTTAGCTTATGTGCCGTTGCCCAAAGTTGGAATATGTACTTGGTGGTTCATCCCAGGAATCGTAAGTGGATGAACTAACCCCAGTTATAAGTGAACCCTACTTAGCCCAGTGATAACCAGGGGTTTTTCACCTACTTACTAAGTGGGGGTGAACCACCAAGTACATACCCTCATAGAATTGGATGATGGGAAAATTTACAGGAAAACCCTATATTTGATGGTAAAAACCATGGTTTCCTGTAGATTTTCCCTTAAACCAATCCATTGATACCCATTTCTGCATGGTCATCAATCCACTAAGAGGGATCAATCCGTGACACGCAGAGCTTCGAAAACCTTCGTCTGAAGGCGCCCCATGTTTTGTCTTCAAACAACGGTCGGTTGCCCGGCTCGCAGCGATTCATCTGGTGTATGAGGTGGGTGACAAATATATATATATATATATATATATGTATATATATGTATATATATATGTACATATATTATATACATATATTATAGTGACCTCACTGCGACCTCACTGCGACCTCACTGCGACCTCACTGGGAATCATGGTTAGTAAGGGGAATCATCCCCAAATGGCCTTAATTCAGCTTAGTGATTTTTTTAAATTTACCCACAAATATATATATATATATAGTATGATATAATATTATATTATATAATAGAACATTATATGACCAACTTGATATGAGATGAGTTTGACTGAAAATCAGGAATCTCCCAAAAATGATGGCTTTATGGCACGGGAAACCACCGGAGTTTGGGTTTACCCGGTTTACCCAACATTTTGAGACAGACACATCCAATTGTAAAATCTTCTACTTCATACCACAATTTCATCCGATTTTCAGGAGTGGTTTGGCCGTGGAAATGCCATCTTTGTGCATTGGCATAGCAACCCCCTGCAAGCCACAATATTTGTTGGGCCCTGGGATCCACCACGTTCACATCAAGGTAGCCTGGGGTAGACTAACATAGATGTGGAAGACTCTTCGTTTCTGTAGGGAAATGATCTACGAATGGATAGAAATGGTGTTTTTTCCCCAGTTTTTCCACATCTATCTTATTTTGCAGGATGGTAAATCCCGTCACTGTGCAAAGATTGGTTTCTAAGCCTTGTAACTTCAAGATTGGTGCTGCGCTGTGGAGATTGTTGATTGATCTTTGACAATGACAATGTCAATGCCGGATGAATAATCACTGGTTGATTCATGAAATGGTTATTCCCAAACAGTGAACATCTATATGCTAAAGATAGTGCCCCCAACAAGACAGCACAGGGATGTATCAATATGGGGTTGACAGATACTTGGCCCATCTCAAGATCCGCATCACAGTGTTTTGTACATTTCCTTCATACCTGGAAAAGCGCGTTCCCAGTTCTGCCCCAGCATCGGCATCAAAGCCATAGATCCCTAATTCTGTGCTCAGGAAACAAGTGTGCTGAGAGAGTGGTCTCAGCCCTCGCTGCAGCACTTCATCTGATTTGTGATCAAGGCAGGACTTTTTGATCAAAACCCACTGGGTCAAACGTGGCTATCGACCTACAAAAGGCTAGTTTTTTTTTTCAATTTTTGACATAAACCATTTTTTGTGGGTGTTGATGATTTCGACCCACACCTCAATGTTTCTCCGACCACTTCTTTTTCTGGATAGAGACCTGGGTTATCGTTTTGAGTCAGCCACCAGAGTTGCCGCTCTGGATGTTTTGCAGGGTGTCAACGCTCTGGATCATTTCCTGTGTCGGGGAAGATGCGCTATTCATGTCTATTCATGTCTATTCATGTCTATTCATGTCTATTCATGTCTATTCATGTCTATTCATGTCTATTCATGTCTATTCATGTCTATTCATGTCTATTCATGTCTATTCATGTCTATTCATGTCTATTCATGTCTATTCATATCTATTCATGTCTATTCATGTCTATTCATGTCTATTCATGTCTATTCATATCTATTCATGTCTATTCATGTCTATTCATGTCTATTCATGTCTATTCATGTCTATTCATGTCTATTCATGTCTATTCATGTCTATTCATGTCTATTCATGTCTATTCATGTCTATTCATGTCTATTCATGTCTATTCATGTCTATTCATGTCTATTCATGTCTATTCATGTCTATTCATGTCTATTCATATCTATTCATGTCTATTCATGTCTATTCATGTCTATTCATGTCTATTCATGTCTATTCATGTCTATTCATGTCTATTCATGTCTATTCATATCTATTCATGTCTATTCATGTCTATTCATGTCTATTCATGTCTATTCATGTCTATTCATGTCTATTCATGTCTATTCATGTCTATTCATGTCTATTCATGTCTATTCATGTCTATTCATGTCTATTCATGTCTATTCATGTCTATTCATGTCTATTCATATCTATTCATGTCTATTCATGTCTATTCATGTCTATTCATGTCTATTCATGTCTATTCATGTCTATTCATGTCTATTCATGTCTATTCATGTCTATTCATGTCTATTCATGTCTATTCATGTCTATTCATGTCTATTCATGTCTATTCATGTCTATTCATGTTCTATTCAGTGTCTATTCATGTCTATTCATGTCTATTCATGTCTATTCATATCTATTCATGTCTATTCATGTCTATTCATGTCTATTCATGTCTATTCATGTCTATTCATGTCTATTCATGTCTATTCATGTCTATTCATATCTATTCATATCTATTCATGTCTATTCATGTCTATTCATGTCTATTCATGTCTATTCATGTCTATTCATGTCTATTCATGTCTATTCATGTCTATTCATGTCTATTCATGTCTATTCATGTCTATTCATGTCTATTCATGTCTATTCATATCTATTCATGTCTATTCATGTCTATTCATGTCTATTCATATCTATTCATGTCTATTCATGTCTATTCATGTCTATTCATGTCTATTCATGTCTATTCATGTCTATTCATGTCTATTCATGTCTATTCATGTCTATTCATGTCTATTCATGTCTATTCATGTCTATTCATATCTATTCATGTCTATTCATGTCTATTCATGTCTATTCATGTCTATTCATGTCTATTCATGTCTATTCATGTCTATTCATGTCTATTCATGTCTATTCATATCTATTCATGTCTATTCATGTCTATTCATGTCTATTCATGTCTATTCATGTCTATTCATATTCATGTCTATTCATGTCTATTCATGTCTATTCATGTCTATTCATGTCTATTCATGTCTATTCATGTCTATTCATATCTATTCATGTCTATTCATGTCTATTCATGTCTATTCATGTCTATTCATGTCTATTCATGTCTATTCATGTCTATTCATGTCTATTCATGTCTATTCATGTCTATTCATGTCTATTCATGTCTATTCATGTCTATTCATGTCTATTCATGTCTATTCATGTCTATTCATGTCTATTCATGTCTATTCATGTCTATTCATGTCTATTCATGTCTATTCATGTCTATTCATGTCTATTCAGGTCTATTCATGTCTATTCAGGTCTATTCAGGTCTATTCAGGTCTATTCAGGTCTATTCAGGTCTATTCAGGTCTATTCAGGTCTATTCAGGTCTATTCATGTCTATTCAGGTCTATTCATGTCTATTCATGTCTATTCTATTCATGTCTATTCAAAAGTTGGATGATCCATACATCTATGCCATTTTTTTCTAGATACTCAAAGGTTCTGTTGTACCCCGAGGAAGCCATTGATTTGATGAAGCGTCAAAGGTATAGACTTCTGACACTGGGAGCCACGGATTCACAGGTCATTTTTCCAGGATCTGAAAGCATTTCATCTGGTAACCAACAGCTTGACTTGCATCAATTGCAGTTGGTCACCCTGGTCACCGTCACCTTTCTCACCTCGAAAAAATCTGTACCTCTATCAAGTCCAATGATGGCAACTCAAGTCATGCACATATCCAGTTAAGATCCTCCTGACCCTTAGAATTCTAGATTCTTTTTGTAGATGGCAAGTTCACTGGGACTGCTAAATCGGTTGTCTCAAGATGCAGGGTACCTGAACTTGCTTTCTTAATGGGGAAAATCATGCTAAAGTACAGGATCTTGAGGTAGCCTATTTGATCTATTTTCAGATAAGCATGATTGCTTACCAGATACTGACTGGACATCCATGAATTGAAACATTTTGTTTGTCTCACATTGCTATAGAAAGATTAGAAAGCAGTGAAATTCCAATTCCTATCCAAGCGCATTCAATTCCAGTATGATTGGGGATTCCGATCACATTCTTGTTCACCTTGATAGCCTCAAAATAGCACCTGAACAGGAGATGATTGGATCTCCCTCAGGATAAGATCTGGAAGCTTCCCGGGTTTTCTTCCGGTTTCACCGCGCAGGTGGTGTGCAAGTGCTCCTACACTTGGGTGATGAGGCCGCCTGCGGCCAGTCATGCCAGTCATGGGAAGGTGGGAAATCCCATGAGAAACATCCGTTACCAACATGGGATTATTCTGTCAAAAAACCACCTATGGACCTATGGGATTAGAGGGTAATGACCTTTTTTCTGGGTATGCAATTGGAGGTTTAAATGGGTTGTGCAAATGGCAGAATCATCCCATAATAACATATTAAATAACACCATAAGACATCCACAATACCATAATTTGGCCATGTTGGGTAAATGCAAAAAAGTTCCAGTTTTCTGTGATCATCATCCCGTTGGACCAACATTGTGGCGGTTTGGAAGGGGAGAATCCAACCCGATGTTCGTTGATGTTTCTAAGCAGTGATGCAGTGATGTTAGTCAATTCACCCTTCATATGCGAAGTAAACAACTCCTGAAAAAAAGAAATGACCTTGGCTGCCTTAGCTCCTTAGATCGATTTGCGACGTGAATCCAATCCCAAAAACGAGGAACACATATCCCATTGTCCCATTGCTGTCCACCCCAGTGATGTTTTCATGTCGGTGTATAAACCAATCATCTATGGTTTATAAACCAACATTACCATATCAACCAGGAATCTACCATAAATCATAGAATTCACCGAGAGTTCACTGTGCGAACCAACATCTCGCGATTCCGAACTGACCAAATTGGGCACCATGAATTTGCTCAGGCCACATTGGCTGTGGCCACGTACCTGCGCCTGCGAGTCAGCCCGGCAGCAGGGGAAGTGGGTGTCATGGGATCTGTTTGATGCGTTGATCGGAAATTGAGGTACCCATCATGCTCAAAAGTAAGTTTTTAAAACATGGCTTAAACAACAACAAATTATTGTGGTAGGTACCCCAACAACAACAAACTTGTGGTTTTTAAACAAAATGTGGTTTCTATAAACATCATTTCTAAAACAATCGTTTATCGTAACAACACCAATTTATTTAGAAACCATTTTTTTTGCCAAATATTATTTTATGGTATATTAATGTAATTATATTGTTTCGGGTAATCAATGCATTCCATCAAGGATTTGGGAAGGTGTCCAATATCAGGGTACGGGTAACCCTAGTAGCTAGGAACGACCCAAAAACACGTAGTACCTGGATAAATAAGTATAATAGAATGGGCTAGCGCCCTGGTGCCGCCGACCCCCCCTATTTGGGGGGTGCTGTAGAGAGAGGGAGAGAGAGGGAGGGAGAGATAGAGAGAGGGCTTGGTGGAAGCTGCCGCGAGGGATTTGGAGGGTTTTAGGGGTTTTAAGGGTTTGAATAACGGTTTGAAGGCTGGCAAACGGCAGGCTTGAACGCCATAACAACAGAGGGCTATGCAGGCAAACGCAGGCAAACTGCAGGCTGCAACGCTGGAACAGCAAAGGCTTACAGGAGGGCTTGGTGGAAGCTGCCGCGAGGGATTCGGAGCATTTTAGAGGTTTTAAGGGTTTGAAGGGTTTTAAGGGTTTGAAGGCTGGCAACGGAGCATTTTAAGGGTTTTAAGGGTTTGAAGGCTGGCAAACGGCAGGCTTGAACGCCCTAACAACAGAGGGCTATTCGCAGGCAAACGGCAGGCTTGAACGCCCTAACAACAGAGGGCTATTCGCAGGCAAACGGCAGGCTGCAACGCTGGAACGAGCAGAGCATGATTGAGTGTCCCATGTACCAGCGGCGACGGGCTGCGCGTGCTGATTCTGGCGACGCGGCCGCAGCAAGGTCTTGGGCCATGGAGTATTTGAAGGACGACGTGGCGCGTCTACAAGTTTTGAAACAGCATCATTATCATCCGATCAATGCGGAAACTGGAGAAAGAATGCCGTTGCATGGCTGCCAAAAAGGGGACAAACCAGGAGTCTGCAAGAGCGAGTTTCCGCGCGATGCGTGGCGAACAGAGCGGGGCATGGTGCTATGTCCATGCCAAGCCGAAGCGCATGGCATGGCAAGCCAAGGGCGCAAGAATCGGATCGGGGCATTGCATGGCCCGTATGGGAATGAGTGGCTGAATTGCTGTCATCCTGCAATGTTGGCAGCGTTGCGTGGTGTCAATGTGGATGTCCAGCTGCCCTATCGCTTGCCGTTCCACTGTGATCATTGTGGGAGCTCTATGTCGAAGCAGCAGCGACGCGAAATCGTTCGCGCCGTGCAGCGCGCTCAAGATGCACAGACGGGGTATTGCGCAGATTATTGTGCCAAAAACCAGCCCATGGCATTTCATGAAATCAAAGAATTTCAAAAGGGGCACCAGCAGTTGCAGAGCAACTACCAGCAGGAGCCACTGGAAAAGCTTGGAAAAAGGCACGTCACTCGTTTTCTGAGCGATGCGTACTGCAAAGGCATCGTTCGGGGACAGGTAGAGTGTTGTAATTTGCGGGCGTACAATAACCCAGCGTCAGTGGTTGCAGCGGAACGCATCAGTACAGCAGCTTTTTGCAGTTTTCCCGGGCGCGCCGTCTTGCAGGCAGTTAATGCCGCGTGTAACGAGACAGAAGAATGGAGCGCCGGGAAAAGACATCGTTGGACAAAGAAGGGGCCGGCCGGACAAAGGCAACTGCGCGAGCTGGATCCGGCGCAAGCATATGGACATAGACCGCAGCAAGAAGACGTATGGTGTTTGTCCCCGTATGAATTTTCTATGTATTGGGACCGTGTACCGATGACACTTCCGCTCACAAGGTCGGAGTTTACGCTGCAGCCGGCGAAGCATTGGGATGTAATGGTGACAGCAAAAGGCGAAGCGAAGTTCGCCGCGGCAAAATCAGATGAGGCAAGTGTGCGCTTGCTCCCAGGCGTTGACTTCCAACGGCGAGAAAGAGGCGCTGCCGATACAAGGGTTTTCTTCGACAGCAGCGCTGGGCGGGAGTTGCAGCACGGATGGTATTTGTGTCGGCGTTTGAGGCCGCTGTGCCCGCAGCTGGCCAATTCACCGGTTCCCAGTAAATGGGGTGAAGAACCAGAACGGAACGCAAAGTTGACATTGGCATATTTCAGAGCATGGACTCTGAACAAACATCGTGGGAATGCAGAAGTCCCGCACGTGTACCGCTTGCGGAAGGAAGACGCGACCTGGGAGCAAAGTTTACGGGAGTGGCTGCTGCAGTTGCCATGCGAAGAAACGAAACGATACGTGGGAAATTTCTTGTCAGTGTATCGTGTGCGTCCGGAAAACGAGGGGGAGAACAGCGACGACGAGGATGACACGGAGGACTTGGTGGTAACTGCAGGCGACTTGGCGCAAGCCTGTGACACTCATGTGCCAGTGAACGAAGAAGACACGAAGAAAGGCAAGTGGTCAGTGCACCGCAGCCTCATCGTTGATGCCATAGAACGGGCGCAGAAGCATTGGAACACGCTTCCGTGTGAAGCCTGTCCGTTACCAAACCCATGCCAAGGCTTGGACAGCAAGAGCCTCCTAAAAAGTGTGCGATGCAAGGCGCGCCCGGTCAGCTGTGAGAAAGACAGTTGCGTGCGGGAGCCCGAGGTGCAGCAAGAAATTGTCAATATAACAGCAGTTAAAAACCATGTGGAAGAATGGGCCGGGGGCCTCGCGCAAGACGGATGCAATGCCAAACAAGCAGAAGTTTGTAGAAAAGTTGCAAGCCAAGTCGTGCAGGAGATCTTGTCTGAAAACCCTGGGGTGCTAGAGCCATTGCGGTGGGCTGTGCATGGCGGACCCGGTACAGGGAAATCGTATGCATTGAATCGTCTCCGGAAAGAATTGTTTGAGGATATTTTGGGCTGGAAGCAAGGTGATGAATTCCAAGTCGTGACACTGCAGGCTGTTATGGCCAATGACTTGAAGGGCGACACTATCCACCACGCGTTTGGTTTGAACTGGCAAGGCCTTGGCGATGAGCGCATTAGCGGGCACAAGCTCCTGGAGCTGAGCGCCAAAGCGTTGCGCTGGCGATGGCTCATCATTGATGAAATCAGCATGGTTAGCGCTGAGCTCTTGGCCCGGTTAGAGTTGCGTTGCCGAGAGTTGGTCCGGGATCTCGCCCAAGGCAAGTATGCAAAGGATGCGGCATATGCTCGTCCCTTTGGAGGGTTAAACGTTATTCTGGCAGGTGATATGTGGCAGCTGCCACCGCCACGTGGAACCTTTTTGGGAGATGTCCCATGGGAATGGTTGACGCAATGCAAAACGAAGAAGGTAGCCCACACCATCCGCGGGCAGGAGTTAGTCTGGGGCGAAACCCCGGACGGCATCCATGGCGTGACAGAACTGGTCGAGTGCGAGCGTACCCAAGATATATGGTTGCAGAGTCTACAAAACGAAGTACGAAACGGCGCGTTGTCCGAGACGAACCACGCATTTTTGCATGGCTGTCCCACGCCGGTACCTGGCAGCTGGAACGGGCACAGACTAGAGTGCAACCACGCCACGTGCCAAAAGTTACTGAGAGAAAAAGCAGCGCCAGAAGCAATCCTTCGTTTGGAATGTGACATATGCAAAAAGGAGCGCCAGTCCAAGGCTAGAGTTGCAGACGGTTCCATCGCGGCCGCTGCGAAGTTCGCTGGGGCAAAGGCTATTTTCGCCACAAATGCCGTGAAGTATCACGTGAATAAACTGCGAGCCAAAGTTTGGGCCGCAGAAACAGGGCAGGTGCTGCACCATGCCATTGCAAAAGACAGGATATCAAGCGCGGCTTTGCGCGAAAAGCCAGATCTGGGCAAAGAAAAATTGACATGGCTGCAGCGCCTCGATCAGGACTGTGGGTCCTTGTATGGTGTTTTCCCTCTGTGCATTGGTATGCCAGTTGCTGCCGCAGATCACTTGGATCGTAGCCGTGGAATTTTACGTGGGTATGCTGGGGAAATCGTTGGCTGGGTCTGGCATGCGGATGCCGTCGGAGGGGCGAGTCAAGAGGCGACGCAGATTTGGAACGAGTTGCCGGCGTGCATCTTGGTCCGGTTCAAGACCAAGACCACCTGGCGTGTCGAAGGGATTGATGAAGACAACGTTTTTCCCGTAGCGCCGCAAAAGAAACCGTGGTATCTGGACAAGGGGCGGAAGCGGCCAGTACTCCGTGTCACGCGGAAGCAGTTTCCATTGGCTCCAGGGTTTGCCGCCACCGCCCACGCAGCCCAAGGGCAAACGTGCAAAGAAGGCGTTGTCATGGACATGCACATTGGGGAAGCAGGCGACCCATTGACAGCTTACATTGCATTAACGCGAGTCCAAGACAGGTATGGTTTGTTTGTGTACCGACCGTTCCCTGCAGCACCATTTCAAAAAGGGGCAAAAGTAGGGCGGGAATTGCTGTTGCGGTTCTGGGGTGGTGAAAAAATGGATTGGAGGGCGCTGCGAGCGAAATACCGAGACGAAAGACAATGCAAAGAATGTAATGAAGCAAAGCCGGCGTCTGCATTCACGGCTGGTCGATGGAAACGAGCAGATGCGGCGAGAGTATGCAAGGAATGCATTCGTAGGCACGTTGAAGCGCAGCAGCCGTGGCAATGCATGGCCTGCACGGCGTGGAAACAGGAAGATGCATTCAAGACAGAACATGCAAGGCCACAAGCCACATTTTATCGTATTTGTAAGACGTGCGAACAGACACAAGTGTGTAGTGTTTGCAATACACGCAAGGACGAAAAGAAATTTTCTGGCGGGGCCTGGAAACGAGCACGCAGGGGCGGTAGAGTGTGTCTAGATTGTTCAAGTAGAGCATGGGGCTGGTGGAGATGCAGCATCTGCAAGGTAAAGCAAGCAGCGTGCGCTTTTGAATCTTGG